GTACTAGATTGGTTTAATTTCTCTGGGTTTCAGTTTTCTCCTTTGTAGAATGAGAGGATTAGGCTGAAAACTCCTTACAGTTAAAAATCTAACATTTTATGATTGGTTGTATGTGTATTTTAAAAATCTTTGAAGTAGCCCTTACTGGTGTGACTCAGTTGTTGGTTTAGCTTCCTTCCCCAAGGCAAAGTGTTACTGGTTCAATTTCCAGTCAGGGTACACGCCTGGGTCACTGGTTCGGGCCTTGGTTGGGGGCACATGCAAAAGGCAAACGATCGACATTTCTCTCTCACATCAATGTTTCACTCCCCTTCTTTCTCCTTCCCTTCACTTTTCTCTAAAAATAAAATCTTTAAAACCTTGGAAGTAAATAGTGGGAGAATGTTTTCTGTTTAGACATAAAAATGGCTAAAAGGGAATAAGGTCAGGATTCCATTTTAAAGAAGTTTCTTGATGTATTTTTAAACAAGATATTTTCTGTAATATAATATTCCCACAGTTTTTATTTTTGTGAAACATCGTGACGTAGTGGCTGTCTTGACTTTGTCCTAGCTCCAGCACGGAATAGTGTGTACACTCGGGCATGTCATTAACTTTCCTTTGCTGTACACTGTGGTGGCGTCACCTGGTTTAGAGGCATTAGCACGGGGGGTGACATGTAGGTGGAACTGTTCGAATATTAGTTCTTTTTCTGAATGGTGATGTGACTACCTTAAAATCTTTTAATGAATGTACTTTAAAAATTTCATATTTCTGAACCATTTTAGATCTTAGCCTCATAGACAAAGAATCAGATGATGTCTTAGAAAGAATCATGGATGAAAAAACAGCAAGTGAGTTGAAGATTTTGTATGGTCACAGTGGACCTGTCTATGGAGCCAGCTTCAGTCCAGACAGGTAAAGTACAGACTGGCAATATGCAAATGTCAGGAAAATTTGTTAGAAAAATCTCATGGTTGCTTGTCAGTCATTGTCTTTCAGAATCATGCCATTTGCTAATTCATCCTGGGTGTACAGGATAGCAACTGAACATATACCCAGGTTTACAGACTGAAGATGCACAGCTTCAGGGTTTGCTGGCTTTAAACATTAGTTTTGGTTTTGTAATAACCCTTCATTTGAATTGCTTCTTTGGGTTCCTGTTTTGGTTTTGTGGCTACTGCTGTCTTCCATCATCTCCAAATTTGTAACAGATTCCTGATATTAAAGGCTTGTTAACTATTAGTTGAAGATTTATCTTTCTATAATCAAAAGAAATAAGGAAGATAGTGAAAACAGAATTTGAAATCCATAAATAAGTATTTGCCTATTTTTCATGATCTCTAATATTCCATAGAAATGGGGCAAGGGTATTTTGTATTCACTATACCATTTATATCTTACTTGGATAGATATTAGCTTCTAATCCATCAAGATTTTCATCTGTATGAGCCTTTGAGAATGAGGTTTTTGTTATTTGATAGGGTTTAGACAGATGATATATTTTTACTTGAGGAAAACTTAATTTCAGTGAAACCATACTTTGAATAGTTCAGCTTTGGTATTTATCCTTGAAAAATGTATTTCATTCATGTGTCTGTAGTATTCTTTCTGCTTTTGTGTCAGATATACTTCCTTTTAAATTCTTATACAATTCATAGAGGACAGGAATATAGCAGATTCTTTTTAAAATCAAAGATTGAGTTTTACGGGACATATCATATTTCTTAGAAGCCTTTTTAAATTGACCTTATTTGAGTGTAGTTTTTGTCATTAACCCTTTGTATTACTTTTAAAACTTTTTATTATTTTTTTTTTCTGGCTGGTGTAGCTCAGTGGATTGAGCACAGGCTGTGGACCAAAGGGTCACCGGTTCTATTCCTAGTCAGGGTACCTGCCTGGGTTGGGGGCCATGTGAGAGGCAACTACACATTGATATTTCTCTCCCTCTCTTTCTCCCTTCCTTCCCCTCTCTCTAAAAGTAAAATTAAGTCTTTTTTTTAAAAAAAGAATTGTTATTCCCCACCCCCCAACATTCTTTTTAAAAAAATTGAACCTCATTCTGTAGATGCTCAGTAGATACAGAATATCATGGCTGTTACTTTGGTTAGTACTTCCACTCAATGACTGAAATTATGTATAAATTAAAAGTGAGATGTAGCACATCAGCTATATTTAATATATTCAGATGTACAGGAACTGGACTGGTAACTAAAAGTTATTCTGGGAATCAAATATATTATTTTCTCTTCTCTCAGGAATTACCTACTCTCCTCTTCAGAGGATGGAACTGTTAGACTGTGGAGTCTTCAAACATTTACTTGTTTGGTAGGATACAAAGGACACAACTACCCAGTCTGGGACACACAGTTCTCTCCATATGGATATTATTTTGTGTCAGGGGGCCACGACCGAGTAGCTCGGTAGGTACACTGTGACCTTACACCAGGATCTAGTCAGGAACAGAAAGGGTTCTTGTTGGGGATTACAAACCTCCAGCCGAACTCATTTTCACTTCTGTTATTCAGGATCAACTTTTTGAGATTGTGAGCATTTACGACTCATTATTTGACAATGAATTTGGGGAAAAAGTATTACTGTCTATAATTATGTCTATATCAAAGTCCTGAGTAATTTTCTTTCTCAAGCTAGCTTTTTAACGTACCTTCCCCTGCCTCCCCCGTCAGCTGTTTAAAACCCTTTTAAGGTTTATATATATATATATATTTCATTTTTATCAGCTGTTTACCCTTGCTTGGTCTTTCCCTACTACTGTGGCACCTGTTTCTCTATCGTATTAAAAGTTTAGGATGAGGCAGCTCAGGTTAGAAACTGTGGTGGCCAAAACTTCGGTATTGGTTAGAACAAAGTTGGGTGGGGTAGGAGAGAAGGGGGATAAGGAGAGGAGAGTACTCAAGAATTATAAAGGTAAAAAGCGTCTGTACCAGATCAACTTCTCCTTTAAGAATGTTAGTCTCAATCATTCCTTCTTCTGTTAGGTAATAGTGAGGGGGACCCATTTGGAACTAACATTTCACATGAATTATTTATTTTGGATAAAATTTGGGCATTTCATAGTTAACTGCTAATTATCATCTTTTGCTTTTAATACATTTTCTAAAAGGCTCTGGGCTACAGACCACTATCAACCTTTAAGGATATTTGCTGGCCATCTAGCTGACGTGAACTGTACCAGATTCCATCCAAATTCTAATTATGTTGCCACGGGCTCAGCAGACAGAACCGTGCGGCTCTGGGATGTCCTGAATGGGAACTGTGTACGGATCTTCACTGGACACAAGGTATTTTCACACTTTGGTATTTGAGCATGCAAGATTGCTTTTGAGATATATTTTAAAAAATGAACCAGTGACACAGATTCTGGATACTATTCATACCACTACACTTCAAAATTCTTTCTTGTTTCCTAGGTATTTTTAGCCCTACCGTTGATTCTTTCCCTGGATTTCTTTTCTAGGGACCAATTCATTCCTTGACATTTTCTCCCAATGGGAGATTTCTGGCTACAGGAGCAACAGATGGCAGAGTTCTCCTTTGGGATATTGGACATGGTTTGATGGTTGGAGAATTAAAAGGACACACTGATACAGTCTGTTCACTTAGGTTTAGTAGAGACGGTGAAATTTTGGCATCAGGTAAATGACTGGAATGGCTTTGTGGGAAAGGGTAAATGGTATGTTAAAAGGAAATGTGGAGTGTTAATAATGGCAAAGTCCTGCTGTTCCAGGCTTTTCTTCTTTTTAGGTGATTCCAGAGTATCACCCTACATGTGTGATACTCGCAGGTTACGTTAAACTACTGCCTGAAGTGCTCCTTTTGCAGGACTATAGTTGTTAATCAGGTTTAGATTTTTCACCAGAAATATACAGTAAATACTTAAAGTGTACTTGGCAAAATGTCAGATGCTAAATAGGGTGGATGCTACTAAATGGTTTCCTTTGACTTTACCCTTAGGTTCAATGGATAATACAGTCCGGTTATGGGATGCTGTCAAAGCATTTGAGGATTTAGAGACTGATGACTTTACTACAGCCACTGGGCATATAAATTTACCTGAGAATTCACAGGAGTTATTGTTGGGAACATACATGACCAAATCAACACCAGTCGTACATCTCCATTTTACTCGAAGAAACTTGGTTCTAGCTGCAGGAGCTTATAGTCCGCAATAAACCATCGGTATTGAAGACCTTTGGAAGCTACTGTTTGAAAAAGGGAGACTAAAAGCAAATACCTCAGTGATTAATATTTAAGCTACGAAGAATGTTTTGTCTATATGGATCTGGAAGTATGCTGCTGGGAAAATCTGAACAGGACAGTTCCACGTTTCTATAGCAACCACATTTAACTAATTTCTGTTAGTTGAATAAGAGGTATTATGCTCGTGGAGGGGACATTTCTGGTGCTTTGGAATGTGTGGAAACTATGCATTTTCTGTTCAAATGCTATTTTAATTTATTATGTTTAGGAAAAAATTGATTTCAATAACTCATCCTGCTTCAAGATTCAAATTGAGTAATATAATACCATCATGAATTTTAGCTGAAGAATTCTATGAGCATGTTATGTTTCTGCTGTAAAAATGTAGTTAATGTATGGCACTCAAATACTATGTTAAATGATCCACTAACATTTTTGCTTGGCCCATGACTAGTGGAATGTATGTAACTGGGTAGGGTGAACTACAAGTTCTTTCTAAGATTTAGATGAAGTACAACCACCTACTGACATCTGAATTTGCACCTGTCAGATTCTTGAGTGCACCCGAACACTCTATAAACTGGGTGAAGTAGTTTAGCTTTCATGTTCTACTTCAGCTAAAATGGCTATACACAACCTTGTACACTTGAAGTCAGACAGACATTTCAGTTGCTTACCTCCAGTACTGAGCCTTGCTTTGGGAAACTAAAATTCAGACCAAGTCACTGCCAGTTTTTTGCCTTTGTTGCATTTTGTACAGTTTTTATATTTTTGATATCTTGTAAATAAAGACAACCAGCTTTTCCAGGTTCATAATTTATTGTACAAATTGAGTATCACATGATGAGCTGACATTAGCTTCTCCAGGCATGGGAAATTAACAGATGAGGTACAGTTTAGAATCCTATAAACAAAGCAAAAATAGTTCAGACACAAACATGTTCAACTCTACTTTTAAGACATTCAGTAAATTGCCAGTTACTATCCATGAACCTCCCTGAAATTGAAGGCAAATTCATCAAATTCTCAAAAGGAGTCAGTAACCCATCCCAAAATTAAGGTGTATCTTAGCCTTATACAATTTAACCTAAACCCCACCTTTAACAAAAGAGCTGTCAACAATTCAGTAAGATCCTAATGTATGTTACTCAGAAAAGTCAAGTATATAAAGTAACTTTTTTAGTGATTGATTTATCAATCAATCAATCAATCAATCAATCAGCAGGGGAAGGAAGGGAGAGAGGGAGAGAAACATCTGTGTGTGGTTGCTTCTCACATACCCCCTACTGGGGACCTGGCCTGCATTGCACTCAGGCATGTATCCCAACTGGGAATAGAACCAGCGACCCTTTGGTTTGCAGGCCAGCACTCAATCCACTGAGCCACACCAACCAGGGCTATATAAAGTAACACTTTAAACAGTAGAAAACAGGTATGTTATCTAGTGTGTATCTGTTACTTGATATCTGAGATGCAATTTCTTTGTATAGGGGCTACATAAAGTTAGGAGGTACCTGACATGGGATGTTGAACAAAATACATTTGTCAGGAATAAGGCATGGACCACTGCATTCTGGGATATGCAGTCCCCTAAGGACTGGGAAAACTTTTAAGGGCAGAAGGAAACTTTTCTACCTGTGGAGAGCTACATTAGATAAAGATCTGGATTTTGGGTTTTCTGCACATCATCTACTGTGAAACACAAATTTTCACTTTAGCATAGGGGAATGGGGTTGGAGAAACTATAGAAGAAAATGAAGCCTAAAGGGGATTTAAGAAAAGATAGAACTATTTATATGAAAAACTGAAACCAATGACATCAAAATTTAAACTACAGAACACCCTGAAACCTAGCTGAACAGAAATTCCCTAGCTAGGGAATTAAGCAGTTCCTCTTAAAGGGTGCCCATGGACTCAGACTCACTGCCTCTGCGCTCCAGTGCTGAGACCGCAGCTGAAAGGGCACCAAGGACATGAAGGATCTGAATTGTCTGGCATCAGGGAAAGAGCTGGGTGGGGTAGCTTTCTGCCAAAGTGCTGGCAGAGGCCACTGTTCCTTTCACCCAAGAAAGCTGGCAGTCGAGCACCCTGAGTCTCCATCAACCTCACTCACATTGTTCACCAGCCCCGGTGAGTCCTGAGACCCTGCCCCACACAACTTTCGGGCCCACTCAAATTGTCCAGTGGCTTTTCCTTATGAAGGGCCTGTCTTGGCTCATGCTTCAGATTTCCCTAAAATCTCTCACACATGCAGCACCTGGCCTCTGTGTGCCCTTCTTGCAAAGTGGCCCCAGGTTTGGCATTAGCTGCAGCTGGCCTTGGCTTGCAGCTTGGCCTCTCTTGGACAACTCCAAGCTTAGCACTAGTAGCAGCCATCTGCAGATTGCTTTGTACCTCCTACCAGGTAGACATAGGGCAAAACACAGGTGGCAGCTGAACTTGGGCTACACTTCTCCAGAGGCCCCAGAACCAGCACACCCAGTGGGCAACTTCAGACCACATCAATGCATCACCCAATCACGTTCACAAGCTACACACTCAAGGGGCAGACTTGGTGGGCTCTAGAACCCCACTGAAGCTGTCTTCTGTGGAGTGGGTCCCTGCACAGCTGATCCTCCAAGGTGGTTGAAGGTCAGTGGTTGGTGGTCACAGGCAGTCCTTGCAGTTAAGTGGCCTGGGAATAAATCCTTCCCATCAATGTGCCAATAGCACTCAAGGCTTGACTACAAAAGGAGGGTGTACATGGCAAACACAGAGCTCACCTTGAGTGCTAAGCTTGGGTGACTGGGGAGGCTGTGCCACCGGACCCTAGAGAACACCTACTGCATAAGGCCTCTCTACCAAGACTGGAAGATGTAGCAGCTGAACCTAATACATAGGAACAAACAGGGAGGCTGCAAAAATAGGAGACAAGAAACACATCCTAAAGAAAGAAAAGAACAAAACTCCAGAAAAAGAAACAAAATGGAAATAAGCAATCTACTAGATGCAGAGTCCAACACACTGGTTATAAGAATGTTCAATGAATTTAGTGAAAACTTCAACACCATAAAAAATGACATGGAAACCATTAAAAAAGAACTATTCAGAAATGAGGAATACACTAACTGAAGTGAATGATTTACAGGGAATCAACAGCAAAGTAAATGAAGTAGAGAATCAAATCAGTGAGTTGAAATATAAGGATGCAGAAAAACACAATCAGAATAAAAAAAAAAAGAAAAATACCCCCCATCCAAAAAAAAAGATAATATAAGGAGCCTCTGGGACAACTTCAAGCTTACCAACATTCACATCACAAGGGTGCTGGAAGGAGAAGGGAGACAGTAAGAAATTGAACACCTATTTGAAAAAAATGACAGAAACTTCCCTAACCTAGTAAAAGAATTAGACATACAAGTCCAGGAAGAGCAGAGAGTCCCAAACGAGATGAACCCAAAGAGACCCACACCAAGACACACCATAATTAAAATGCAAAAAGTTAAAGACAGAGAATCTTAAAAACAGTAAGGGAAAAGTATCACATTTTGCTGTGTATAAGGTACACCACCACTTTTGGCCCAAACTTCCAGGCACAAAAAATCTTTTGTTTTAATTTTTAAATTCAATTATTTATTTATATTTCGAAACAAAACTGATTATCATATTCCAGGGTATTATTGTGCATATGGATATCATTACTGCTTTCTAGAGTTGCACTTTTAATACATAAGCATAAATAAAAGAATTAAAAACACTTATATAGATACTGAATTAGTACTACCCATGTATAATGTGCACCCCCATTCTTCCCTCAAAAATTTGGGCAAAAAAGTACACATTATACACAGCAAAATATGGTAGTTACCTACAAGGTAGCTCTCATAAGACTATCAGGTGATTTCTCAAAAGAGACTTTGTAGGCCAGAACAGACTGGCAATATTCAAGCAATGAAAAGCAAGGACCTATAACCAAGATTACTCCACCCAGCAAAGCTACCATTTAGAATTGAAGGACACATAAGGTGCTTTCCATACAAGAGAGAGCTAAAGGAGTTCATCACCACCAAATCAGCATTATACGAGATGTTGAAGGGGTTCTTGAAGAAGAAAAAGAAGACTATGAACAATAAAAATAAACAAAAAAAGTTTAAAAAAAAACCAAAAAAGAATAAAAAGGCAATAAATACTTATCACTACTGAACCTAAAAAACAAAATAAACAAACATGCAGAACAGAAACAGGCTCATAATACAGAGAACATTTTGATGATTGCCAGATGTGAAGGGGGTGAAAAAAGAGAAGATTAAGAAGTACAAATTAGGCCCTGGCTGGCGTAGCTCAGTGGATTGAGCGTGAGCCTATGAACCAAGGGATTGCAGTTCGATTCCCAGTCGGGGCATCTGCCTGGGCTGCAGGCCTGTTCCCAGCAGGAAACTCATGAGAAGCAACCACGCATCGATGTTTCTCTCCCTCTCTCCTTCCCTTCCCCTCTAAAGATAAATAAATAAAATCATAAAAAAAAAGTAGTACAAATTGGTTGTTACAGAATAGTCATGGGGATGGTAAAGTACAGCATAGATAATTTAGTCAATAACATTCTAGTAGTATGGTGTCGGATGGTATGAAATATATTGGTATCATCATTTAGTAAGTTATATAATGTCTATAACACCTGAAATGAATATGTCAACTGCAAATGAAAAATAAAAGATGATGAAAAGAAACCTTGAAACTAGCATACTAGCAAAAAAGATATACTTGCAACTGACTTAAAAACTTGGTTAATAAGTATTACATAAAGAGCTTATACAAGAGAAATAAGATCATCACAAAGACAAAAGTCCCAATTGTTAAATGAAAAAAAAGCACGTGAAAAAAATGTTAAGAAAAATACAAATGCAAAAAAAAAGGTACAACTTCACCAAAGACATTATTTTTACTCATCAAATGAATAAAAAACCAAAAACTGATATTATTCAACATTGTCTGGGGCAAAAGACGACATTTTACAAAGCTAGGTGCTTCACAACTCTTTGGGAAAGAACTTGAGCCTAAGAAACAATCATAGGCAGAGACATCATGTCATGCTCAAAAGCATTCACTGTAATGTTATTTATATTAAAACAAAATGTAACAGGAAACAGATTTCCTCTGTGAAATAAACCATATATCCACAGCACTCATGCATTCAAATTATAGAGAACATACCTGTTATAAGACAAAACACAGGTATTAATCATGGCCAATGGAAACCAAATATACAAAAAAGAGCTAAACCAAAAATTAAAATTTCAAGTGTAATGGGATACGGGTAATATTTTTCTCTTTTTTCCCCATGTATGTAATAAATTTTGCATAATGAAAATGATTTATAGACAAGAAAAAACCATTAACATCAAAGTGGCTAAGTTATAAACTTTTTAAAAAAAGACTTTATTTATCTTTAGAGGGGAAGGAGAGAGGGAGAGAAATATCAATGTATGGTTGCCTCTTGTGCATCCCCTGCTGGGAACTGGCCTGCAACCCAGGCATGTGCCCTGACTGGGAATCGAACGGCGATTTTCTGGTTCGCAGGCCTAGTTATAAACTTTTAAATGTCAACTCCTTACCTTTTATGTTGCTTTCACAGCTGGATTTTTTTTAGGCTTCAACTTGAAGTATAAAACCAGCAAAGCAAGGCCTCCATATGTGGCCAGTACACACTGAAAAAGAAAGGAAAAAGTAAAGAGGAGTTGCCATCACAATTATTCTAAAACATAACTGCTTAAAGATATCGTTTGTACTTACATTCATTCGACCTGTGAGAGTGTAAGAGTTGAAATATTTTTTGATACCAGTGAATTGGAATTGGGCATCAGCTTCTGGACCTGCCATGATTTCAATCTTTTAAAAAAAGAAAGAAGGCAACAATAAATTGGTTTGGATTCAATTTAAAAAAGACATTTTTTTAAAGCTTACAAAATCTGAAAAGTCACTATATATATTGTAAATTCTTATGTATGTCTTGTCTAATATAGCAATAGCAAAGATTTTTGCTTTGCTAAAATCCAAGAAAAAGCCTTGTTGATGAGAAGTTTTGGAAGAAAGACTTTACCTTGGCTGCTTTTACACAACAATCCAGAATATACATCAAATAATCTGGCACAAGAAGTAAACAGAGTGGTCTCTAAGTCCACCCACTGACTCAACATGGCTTGATGTTTTCATTCCTGGCTCTACCTATACACTATGCTATAATGTAAATGGACTTAATCAATTAAGACTAATTAAAAATTAGATCTTGTGAAACTGCAACTTACAACCCCTCTTTTTACAATTTTTCTTCTAAACAATTTAAGAGCTTCATGGGAAGGCAGAGAAGGAATCATTTACTAAATGGAGTTGATACATAGTAGCTGTTAGTGCGGGGGAAGGTGGAATCCTTATTCCTAACACCAAGACAGATAAAAGATTTAAATGTAAATATCAACAGTAAAAAATAAAAAAATCCTGTTAGAAAACTGGGGCAAACATTTTAATCCCCTTAGGAAGAGAAAATAAAAAGAACAAAACAGCAAAACGTAAAAAGAAAACCAACCTCAAGATCAAAGAAATGTAAAGTGAGACCACTGTTTAGCAGACTGGCAAAGATAAAATTATGATAATAAGCAGCAGTGGTAGTTTGGTAGAAAACAAGCACTGCCTGTGTTGCCCAGGGTGTGAACTGGAATAACTTCCTAAAGTGCAATTTTGCAGTATTTATCGAATTATAAAATTAGCATACCCTTTTATCAAGCCTGGTTCATTTGTTCTTGAGGTATTTAGCTTTATAGAAATATTACAAAGTGGAAACATGTTACATGGTTCCACTAAGGTGACTGAAACACTGTTGACAAAAGTAAACTGGAGCCCTGATCAGTGTGGCTCAGTTGGCTGGGCATCCTCCCACCAATGGAACTCACTGGTTCCATTTACATTCAAGGCACATGCTTAGGTTGTGGGTTCATCCAGCTGGGGCGTGAGGCTCGTAGGACAGGCAACTGACCCATGTTTTCTCTCTCACCTTGATGTTTCTTTCCCTCTTTCTCCCTCCCTCTCCCCTCTCTCTCTCAAAAAAAAAAAGGAAACTGGAAAAACTAAAATCCACCCACAGGAGACTGATAAAATGATGGTTTCTACTGGAAGAAATAAAATGTGTGTAGGCCTTTATTTATGTATTGACATGAAAAGATACCCTCATGTAATGTAAAATCTTTTAAAAAATCCTATTCTTGGACATTGTATTACAGGGCACATCAATGGTTCTCAAAGTTTGGTCCTTAGGCCAGCAGCATCAACATCACCGGAAACTTGTTAGAAATGCCAGTTGCCAGGCCCTACACTCAAGCCTACTGAATCAGAAACTCGGGCCCAGCAATCCATTTTAATAAGCCCTCTTGGTGTTTCTGATGTACGTTCATGTTTGAAAAACACTGGACTAACAGAAAACAATGGAAGAACATAGAGCAAACTTTTCAGAGGAGTTACAGCTATAGTAGGTATGTATTTTACAAAGACCTGTATTTCTCTTCTAATAGAAATAGCAAAGGCACATTCAAAGACCACCAGAACAATGCTTGAAAACTCGTATGTATGACCACCTATCTACCACGACCGACGCCACGCCGAGTCGATTGGCAACACAGACGAGCCGGTCGAGGTCCGGTCGAGATTGGTAGGCAGTGGCAGCTGTACGGCTGGCTCTTGTTGAAATGGAAGAGGGAGATCTGTGAGGCAGTCATTGCTATGGACACTGGCACCCTTCTGTTTACCATTCAAAGGCCTTCAGAGGCATTCACGTGCACAGAATTGGCAATGAAAATTTTGGACAAATGACCTTAATTTTGAACTGTTTCAAGAACGTTCTTAGAGCAATTAAGGAAATTCAAACGTTCTTGGGTCCCTTCAGTAGCCTTGGCCTGTCTAGCACAAGCAGGAACATCTCTATGAACAGAAACCTTTATGACATGGCTTTTGTATTAACTGTTTCATTTTACTAAACTTATTAAAGGCAAATCCCCACCCCATTTACCTTCTTGATACATCTTTTTGATACTAATAGTATTATGTAGGTTTCTAGGAGAAACCCTACAGAAAGTAAGGATTTAACTTTGTCAAATTATTACTGATAACCCCCACTATCTGTACCTAAAAAACAAATTTAGGAGGATGTGGTGTGCAACTGAAACAATTTAAGGTGATTTAAAGCCCCCTCTGCACAAAGTGGGATGAAGTCTGGTGTTTGTGATAGCCCGTAGAGGACTAATCCTGACTGAAGAACACGGTATAGGAACTGCGATTTAGTCCGGGTCTTAAAGGAAGACTCTTGAGAGGCTGAGATGGAGCAGGGAGTGGAAAGTGTGATGTTGCTGGTGAGATAAACAATGGGAGCAAAGCCTGGAAACACTCAGATCTGCACCCTTCAGCAAACTGCTGGTTACTTTTTGGCAAAGATCAGAAACCTTTGTGGCAGAGTGCCCTTTGTGGAATACCTGAACTGAAACTTGCTTAATAGAGGAGAAAGTGTACTATTTGTTAAATGGCAGCCTGGGGGGAAATCTAATCAATAGCGTCTCCGCTTTTGTTTGTAATTAAATGGCGACAGCTATCAAATATAATTGATTCTTCCATGCCTTTTCTTCACCTGTGAAACGGGCATTTTGGAAAAGGCCCCAAGTGATTAATGGCCCTAGCTACTTTCTGATTCTCGATATTGCTGTTTCCGTGTCTGACTGGACATCTACCTGGAATGGGGAGATCACGAAGTGAAGGACGGAAAGAGCGAGAGGCGCTCAGGTACCAGAACTAGCCTCCCGCACTTCAAGGAGTTTACAATTCCCCGTCCTGGCTACCTCCTAGGAAAGGCCTTCCCGTTGATGGAGCGTGTTGGCGTCTAAATCTATTCCGCTTCCCGCGGGTCTGGAGACAGTAGGGGACGGCCACACTCACTCTCGCTCTGATACAGGCAGCTAAAGGAGGTCAGGCTGACGAGCTTCCCTAGCACAGCCCAGCGAGAACGAGCTGCTGCGAACATACCGAGGAAAAGAATAATGCAGCCAGAGATGGGGTCAGAAGCTCAAGTTCTGATCCACTATCACGTCACCGCATGACCTTGGAAGATACCGCTGCGGGCGTCATTTTTCTCCACTGAAAAATGCAATCTAAGGGCCTTCGGAAGCCACGGGAGCCTTTGGGAGCACCTATTAGCCTCTCCGCAGGGCTGCGCAGCCACTGTTGGACCTCTGGCATTGCGGGCCTCGCGATCTCAAACCCCTTTTCCATCCCCCACCGCTCTCGCCCCACAAAGGGAAGACCTCGAGGCGTTCCCAGACTAGAAATGGTCGGATCTTAGGCTGGCGCCACAAGGCTGTGCCTCCAGGTCCGAGGCCGGGTCCCTCTGCACACCCACCTTGCAGATAACACGAATTCCGCAGACAGCGTCCTTCAACCTACGGAGCTTCTCCCGACCCGCCGGAAGAATCCGCCTCCCTCCTACGCGTTCAACCGGCCTCGGCGATTCAGCCTTAGGCGTCGATTGGCTGGAACTCAAAGTCCCGCTCTTCCGCTTCCGGCCTCTAAACCTCCACCTCCACCTCCTCCCCCGCCCCTCCGCTCGAAAGTGACCGGACCCAGCTTAGTAACGGAAGTTAGGGCTTTGGGCCCGCCCATGCTTCCGGAAAAGCATTTTCGTGCTTTGGAGAAACAGGTCTCCGCGTGTGTGGAGACAGTGGCGTGGCCTCCGAGGTTGAGATCTGCCGGCGTCGCGAAGCTGGTGAGCGAGGGCAGAGGACGGACCCTCTGTAGCTGCGAGGTGTCCAAGGGCTAGATCCTTCGGGTTTCTACTGTGCTCCCCTTATGCTGGGTGAGTGATTCTATCACCCCAGCCCGGCTCAGAAGCTGGCCGCGCACGAGTGGCTCTGTAACTTCAGGCTCTGTCCCCGGAAAGCAGCTTAAGTCCCCTCTTTGCCTCTGGATCTCCTGTCTTTTTGAAGCTCTAGTGTCCCTTTGTCTGAAATGAGATCAAGGATCACATTTTCAGCAAACTAGACTCTGCACTTGTCTATTTCTAGGAAACATACATCCTTTCCCGATCCTTGGCTCCCTCTCCTCGTCACCTCTGCTACAATCTCAACCCTTTACAGGTTCTTTTTGCCAAGGCTCTCAGGACCAAGCCCTCCTATCTTCCATTCTCATTTGCACCTCACTTTTTACTTGGCTCTCATGGTTTCTCGGTTGTACTGCAGTTAATCCTGCCTGGTTTACTTTCCTTCAGTTCTGTCTCTCTTCCTGTTCAATCTGTAGCCTGTAGTATGTTTTTCTTGATTACTGTTCTGTTTTTTTCTAATTTTGGCAGTCATTCTAACTATATAAGTCTGCCTAACATTTAACTAATCATATCTAATTGAAGATCTTCCACAAAAAGCCTTATCTGTCTTTTAAAACTTAGCTCCAATTATTATGTCTTATTTTTGCCCTGTGGTCTAGTTGAACAGCCCTTTGAAGAAAGGTAACAGCAGGCTTTTGAGCAATTGTTTGGCAGACAAATTGCTCCTCATTGAAATAATTGGCTTTCTTTTTTTTCCATACTTTTTTCTCACATTCCTTCTGCTTTTCCCTTTCCACATATCAAAATTCCATTCATTGCCCTGGCTGGTGTAGCTCAGTGGATTGAGCATGGGCCTGTGAAGCAAAGGGTCACCAGCTCGATTCCCAGTCATTCAGGGCACATGCCTGGATTGCAGGCCAGGTCCCCAGTAGAGGACACATGAGAGGCAACCACACATTGATATTTCTCTCCCACTCTTTCTCCTTCCCTTCCCCTCTCTTTAAAAATAAATAAATAAAATATTTTTAAAAGATTCCATTCATTTTAACATTTAGCCCCAAAACATCTTCTGTAGGACACTTGCATCCTTTACTGAAGCCTCATCACTTCCTATGTTGAAAGTGTATAATCTGACTTGAATTTTAAATCATTTGCATACGTGTTTTATCTTCTTAAAAGTGTTCATGTTCTTTAAAGGTAGGAGGTGATTTATTCAGTTGTGTATTTCTGACTTAAATGTAGCTGCTTAATGATATTTACTACATTGAATCTCTAACTTTTTTCCTTGGAGCAAAGCATGTGGATTTGTGATTGGCAGGAGAGATTTTGGAAAGATGAAGTGTCGATTATCTGGGGCTTGGCATCAAATCATCTATTTCTTGGGCCTGAATGCTGTCAAGTACACTGATGCTAGAAGGCTCTATCTCTTGCCCATTCATCACAGCTTTTAGGAAATCTGACACCAAAGTCACATGTCCTGGTAACTCTTTGCATTGTTTTTAGGAGACGCAAACATGTCAACCATGGAAGAAAGCTTCCCTCGTGGGGGCACAAGAAAGACCCACAAATCAGAAAAAGCTTTCGAGCATTCAATTGAACAAGACAATTTATTTGATGTAAGTGGTGTGCTTGTTTGGTAAGAGTCACTAAACACTTGCTCTGTAATATTGTTGGGAACAATGAGTCCTGTTTGAGAATTATGTTGTTTTTCAGATTTGTTTGTTTTTAAAGTCTACGTTTGTAAATTGATCATGTTAGCCAGTTCCTACCACCACAAGACTATACTTTTTGGAGCATGGCATTTGATATTTGAGTTTGCAGTGCTCTTGTCCTTTATTCTTAGGAACTGTGCTGTGTTGACACAGTATGGAGAGAAAGCATTAGATCATTGGGGTCCTTCCTGCCATGTATAATGGTCAGAATTTGCATTAGAACTCATAATTTTCACCTATGGCAGCTATGCTTGAAATGCTGGAGGGAAGGGAACTAGCATTTGATTATATGGCTTTATGTCTGTTTTATGTTATTTTCCCAACTGTGCTATGAAATAGAAATCTCAGTTCTATCTATGGCTAAGAGAGGTTATGTAATTTAGCTGAAACCACACAGCCCATCATGGTGGCATTGGAAGTTTAAACTGGGTTTTCCTGACTCCACTTTCCATTCATGCTGTTGTTCCAAATTGCTTCTTATTTTGCCCCCCGCCCCAGCGTCCGTCCTAAGTTGGGGGAGGGAGAATGTGGAGAGAAAGGGCTTTTGAGAACACAGAGGGGAAATTTTGGACAAGGGGAGCACTGGGGGGAAATTGGGAGAGTTGGGATTGAAGTAGGAATTAAAGGAACATTTGGGAGTGGGGTAGAGTGCAGGAATAATGGAGCAAGGTGACAGATGACCTGAAATTGGAGGGAAAGGCCAAGATTGCTTCTTTTCATTCTTTGGAACTTTTCCCCCCTTTAGATTTCTGCTGAAGAGGAGTCCACCAAAAGGAAAAAGAGCCAGATAGGGCCAGAAAAGTCAAAAAAGTTGAAAATCGAAAAGAGAGAAAGTGGCAAGTCTATAAAAGAAAAGTTTGAAATCCTTCGTATTGAGGTTTGTTAAAGTTTGGTTTTGTTTTAAACAAAGTACCTGGGTTGCTTAAGTTTGTATATGTTGTAATTCCCTCTTGCTTCCTTTTCCCATTCATTCATTCATTCATTCATTCATTCATTCATTTGTGTATGTGTATTTTGCTTGTGTCTATAGTGATTCTTGCAGTTTCTGCTCACAATAGAGCATCATTTTATTCTATTATTAACTAATGCCTGGGATCATGTATTTGTTTGTTTGTTTTTTTTAGCTCATCCCGTTCCTATCCCCAGGGGACTTGTGTTTCAGTAAATGTGTAGGTTAGAACTGGCAATAACTTGAGCAGTGATGCTCAGATTCCCTCTCGCTCATAGTCCCGTGGAGCTAAGTGGGTGGTTGCACCGTTAGACCTGGCCTCTGGGCTCCAGACCGCCATTGTCTCCACTGGCCTCCATCCTTCCTTTTGTTGCCTGTTAGGCATTTGAGGTTAGGTTGCTTGGAATAAAGTACAAGGTGAAAATGCCCTCCAGCACTCTAGTGCTGTTAACACTATTGTATAATTTCCACCTTTTTATGGTGCTCAGTCTGATGTTTAAGTGCATTGATGTGAACACATATGTACTTCCTGTAACTTTTATATGTCAGAGTTGAGACTAGCACCCAGACCCCGCCCCCAACCTCCCCATTCGTTGTTCTCTTCCCTATTGTACTGATTTCACTTTTTCTCTTCTAGTCCCTGTGTGAGGGAATGCGGATTTTGGGTTGTGTGAAAGAGGTAAATGAACTAGAACTGGTGATTAGTCTCCCCAATGGCCTCCAGGGGTTTGTGCAAGTAACTGAAATCTGTGATGCTTACACCAAAAAGCTGAATGAGCAGGTGACGCAAGAAGAACCTCTGAAGGTAAGGAAAATAAGTGGTGTACAAATAAAGATAAGATTACAAGTTTGCTGAGTACTAAGAAGGAATATTACCAGGTGCCATGAAAGTTTATAATAGTCTTTTTTGTTTTGTTTTTTAAATAAGGGGATTTTGACTTAGCCCAGGGAGCCTGGAAGACTTCCCAGAGGAAGGGATGCTTGAGCTGAGATCCGAAGGGTGAGGCTGTACTAGATGCAGAAGGAAGGGAGTCCAGGCAGAAAGAGTGTGGTATGTAGCAGAGAGAAGTGGCTAGAGCAGAGGCAGCAAGGGAGAGTGGTGTGGGTGGGGCTGGAGTGCTGGGTGGGGGCCGGGCCGTGTGAAGGATTGGTTTTTCCTTTTGGAATTAGTGACAAGTCCTTGACAGGTTCTCATTGGGGTGGGTGACAGGTAGACAGCATAGGGAATAAATTGGACAGGCGAGAGTAATTGCCTAGGGACCAGGTGGGAGGCTGTCATTGTAGTCCAGGCTCTGAGATTGACGGCAGCATGGGTTCAGGGTTGACTGAGGGCCGAGGAGGTAAAGTCGGTGCTCAGTGACGTAGTGGGTACGGGTGGTGAGGCGGAAGTGTCAGGGATGAGTCCTAGGTTTCTATTGTCCATGATTTGGCAGATGGCCAGGGCATTCTGAGATAGGAAATCTTGAAAGGGGACCTGGATTGTGAGAGATGATGGGATTTGTTTTTTGCTGTGTTGAGTTTGAGACGAGGAATGCGTGAGCCTTCTTTGCGTAGGTGGTAACTGAAGCTGCAAAGGGAAAAGTTGCTCACAGGGGACAAATACAGTGAGAAGAGACTGAAGACTGACCCTTGAGTCAGCACCGCCTTTTAGTTGCTGAATGAAAGGAGAGTCGCTGTTGGAGCAGGAGGGCCAGACATTGCAAACCAATGAACAAAGATTCCCTTTGGTCTTGAAAGCAGGGGAGGGAATGTTTAGTGAAGGAAGGCGCAGACTCCAGTGTTACATTCTTTTTAAAAGTGACGTGAGAGAAGGACTGCAAAACAGACCGTTGATTTGGTGACTTCACTGGGAGATAAAGATTAGAGTGAGGGGTGGCACGAAGATTGCAGTAAGCTGATAGGAGATGAAGAAATGGGCCAATAAATATAGACAACTCTTTTTTTTTTCAATTAAGTGCAGTTGGTATATAATATTATAATAGTTATATTGCTTCCAGGTATACAGTTTAGTGATTCGACATTTTTATACCTTACGATGTGATCACCCCACTAATTCTAATGATCTGTCACTGTGCCAACTTACCACAATACTATTGACTATATTCCCCTCTATCTTTTTTCACCCATCCATGACCCTCATCCCCTTAACAACTATCCCTTTGGTATTCGTAGACAAATGTATTTTAATTGAATTTTTTTTAAGAGAGAGAAAAGAAAGGATTAGGGGGGTGGGAAGAGAAAGAGAGAGAGAGAAACAATTTGTTGTTCCACTTGTCTATGCATCTGTGGGTTGATTCTTATTTGTGCCCTGATGGTGGGGGACCAGGCACAACCTTGCATATTGGAAATTCAAACCAACTGATCTACCTGGCTAGGGTCTTTAGACAACTATTTTGACCAGTCATTATGACAGTATTTTGACAAGAGACTTGGAGGCTTTATGGGGAAATTCAAAATTTATTTGGCCACAGGCCCATCCTCCTCTGTGAGTGAGCAGTTACTGTCTTTGTTGCCTCTTGCATTCTTGGCATGTGAGGGTGAGAAGTCATCCACCCGCTGGGCAGTGGGTTCTTGGTTGTGGGGAAGGATATGTAACAGGGCGGGCTTTCTCATTTGTATCATGCAGGACCTGGCCAGCTTGCCTGAACTCTTCTCTCCTGGGATGCTGGTGAGGTGTGTGGTGAGCAGTCTGGGCATCACAGAGAAAGGCAGAAAGAGTGTCAAGCTATCTCTGAACCCCAAAAACGTCAACAAAGTGCTGAGTGCAGAAGCCCTGAAGCCTGGCATGGTGTGTATCTGGGTTTAGGGGAGAGGAGCTGGCGGCACGCCTCCTCCCAGCACTGCCTGGTCTCCTAGGGAGTGTCTCGATCACCTTGCACTTTCAGCTTAACTGTTACACAGAGCAGGGGTCTTTTCCTGAGGGTGCTTTGGATACTTACTGGAAATTGAAGACCAGGGAACCTAATCATTTTACCCTGGAGGGGAGAAAGGGAAAGCAAGTCAAAGATTAGCTGGTGGGGGCGGGGGGAAGCCTCCAAGGAGCCTTAGCCACACTGGTGGTGTGGAGTTCCTTGAAGTGCCTTTCTCACCCAGACTTCTTCACAGGTTAAGTTTTTTCAGAGGCCGTCTATCATTTGTGGGGAATGCTTGAGGGCTGCTCTCCAAGAGCAAGAGACAGAGTAGACAGGGCAATTTGTCTATCTTCTGTGCTAATGGACAGCCACCACCAATTCTCTCCATCCTGAAATTGGTCTCACCTCGGAGCCTCCAAGTCCAGTAGGTACAGAACATTTAGATAAGCTGTACTCAGTCAAGTACTCTTGTAATTTAAAGGGAGGAGATCAACGTGACTGTGTAATGTTTTGCAGAAGCAGTGGATGTTGGGTCAGGCCCTGAAACTTGGGTAGAAAGGGGAATAAAAGGAAGCCAAGTTTCGGGAAATTGACAAGTGTGGAGAGCTGCTATGTGATAGGTGCAGTTTTAGACACTTTATTTGAAGAAATTCTCACAGGAGCCCTGTGAGGCAGGTAAATATCCCTCTTGTTCATTTGAGAAAATGGAATCAGAGAAGTTGAAGTGAGTCTTTCCAAAGACCAAATAGTAAGTGTTGGAGCCTGATTTGAATGCTATACTGCTTCCCATGAAACGTGAAGGAGGTTGGCAAGATTTTTTTTGGGAGGGGGTCTTGGAGGTGGTTAGAAAAGATATGAGGACAGAAAGAAGGGTAGTTCTGTATTCTCATTGGCGACAGTGCTGGGAGCTACTTCACAGGGCTGTGTCTCCTATCTTGAAAATTTTCCAGGGGAGAGGCTCCTCTCTCGCATTCCGTTATTCATCTGTGCATAGCACTCCATGGTCTAGAAACTGTAAAATCCTTGTAGTCCTGGAGAGCTGAAGTTGGTATCTTTCCCGCTTTTGTCTTCTGGTGGGATGGAGGTTTAAAGTCAAAAGGAGAGTGGGATTATGGGATAAAGTGTTGAGATTGATGGTGGAAACACACATTTTGTTGTGGATGATTATTGTTTGTCCCATTACCTTTGGCTTTTGAACTTTTGGGGGGATTGCTTTTTCTTCCTCCAGCTGCTCACAGGCACTGTGTCCAGTCGGGAAGACCATGGCTACCTAGTGGACATTGGTGTTGTTGGGGCCAGATCTTTCCTGCCACTGCAGAAAGCTCAGGATTATGGCAGACAGAAGAACAAAGGTGAGGGAAGCAGAGGGGCCAGTGCATGGCCGTGAGGGGGGATGCGTGGGATTATGCTGTTCAAATGCCACTTCGGTGACTGAATTACAGAATGGTGACCCCGAAGGCTTTGCTGGGATCAGTGGTTAATCCTGGTCAATAGAAAAGGGAGTTTGTGTGAAGGGCCAGCAAGTGGCTGGGTCTTGCTAAGATATGAGGGGCCATTTTTACTGTTTCTCACAGAGGAGATTTCACTGAAGTTTGGGCCTCCAAGGCCTCTAAACTGGCTGTCTCCTGCCTTTTTGAAATTGTCATATTTTTGTGATCAATTTCCAGATCAATTAGGGTCCCTTCAGTCTTGTAGTTGGTCCTTTAGAGATTGAGAATTCGGGGAGTGGTAGATTGTAACTGGGCAAGTAGGCCATGGATTATTTTAGGTGCGGCTTGAACCCAAGTTAAAGGCCCTTCTCATGGGCATTTTACCTTTTGGGGGCTGGGGTGGGGTTTACAGGCGCTGAACTGAAGGTGGGTCAGTACCTGAACTGCGTCATTGAAGAGGTGAAAGGCAATGGCGGAGTTGTTCGCCTGTCTGTCAGTCATTCGGAAGTTTCTACTGCCATTGCTACCGGGGAGCAAAACTGGACCCTTAATAATTTGCTACCTGGACTGGTGGTCAAAGCCCAGGTACAGAAGGTAAGCTGTTCGTTGTCACTACTAACCTCTAAAATAAAAATAGTTTTTATTAAAGTACATGCACATAGTCTAAAATTGTGCCGTACAACAGGGTAGCTGCTGATCATATATGGTTATTACACACTTGAAATTAGCCAGTGGTACATGTTGAAATGATGATATTTTGGATATATTGACTTCAATAAACGATTAAAACAAATTTCACCCCTTTTTTGGTGCTTTTAAAATCTTACTGCTCGAAAACTTAAAATTACATGTGTGGCGTGTGTTATTGCTAGTCAAAAAAGTCAGATGGTATTAAAAAAACTTAAAATGAACTGTCTCATCCTTCCTAACCTCATCTTTAACTCTTTTAGCTTATCTTTTGAAATTCACCTCCATGTTTCTAATTTATAAGCTTCTGCTGGTACCTCTTGGTTTATCAGTTGTAGGCATGGAGTTTTAAATTTCTCACCAAGGCAGACAAAGATTTGCTTCTCTTAATAATCCCTTCTCCTGCCCCAGCCTTCCACCAGAGATAGATTAAAAGTTTGGAGAAATCATTATTTAGTATTAAAGTTACTATGACTATGAATTTTGTTTATTACTGAGCTAGGTAATTAATACACTGTGGCAGTGTGTTGAATAGGTTTTTTCCTAGAGTTGATAGTCAGCTCTTTTTTTGATCATTTGCTAAATTCTCTTCTACCTGTTGCTGTTTCTTCATACCCCCTATGGTTATTTTTCTTTGGCTACATTTTTCCGTGTTCTCAAGCCCTTTCAATAATCTCATAGTTACTTTTATTTCCACCCGGAGCCCCTTCTGCTGCCACCCTGTTCCTGTCCTGGAGCCTTCCGGACTCCACATATAACTCCTTTTCGGTTTACTCGTGTTAGTACGGCACATTCGGCAGAAGCACTTTTGGAAAGGTACATGGGAGGTTACTTCCTTGACCCAGTAGGTCAGGGATCCCCAAGACTGCTCCTAGATTCAGCTCATCAGGAAGACTCACGGGCCTCAGCAGACAGTGGTACTCACAGCTATGGTTTGTTATAGTTAAAGGAGGCAAAGCAAAACCAGCAAAGGGAAAAGAGGCCGATGGAATGAAGTCTGGAAGAAACAAGGCAGTAGCTTCCAAGTGTCTTCTCCCAGCGGAGCCACAGAGGATATACTTAATTCCTCTGGCAACTAGTTATGATGATGCACATGAAACGTTGTCTACCAAGGACACTCATCAGCAGCTTGGTGCCCTAGGGTTTTTAATTGGGGCAGGTCATGTTGGCACCCTCTGCCTGCATGTACCAAAATTCCAGGCTTGTATAAGGAACAGTGTAGGTACAGTTACTTTAGGTACTCAGTTCTGGGAGTGGTAGGGACCTTCCCAAAGTCCAAGTCCCGAGACACTAGCCAAGTGCTAACATTGGAAGCAGGCTTTTGTACGGATCATGGCCTCGGGACTGCTATGTTTCTTTTCTGCACATCTGCTATCTGAAATCGTTTTTCTGCTCTCACACGTGATTGACAGTTCAGCTGGGTTTAGAATTCTAGGTCAAAAATTACTCAGAATTTCGAAGTATTATTCCCATTGTTATCTGGCCTCAGTTACGATGGGAAAGTCTGATGTTCTTTTCCTTTGTGTGTGCGTGTTTAAGTATAGTCTTTATTCCTTCTATTTGAAAGTATCATGATGCTGTGCTTTGGTGTGGGCAGCTCTTCATCTATTTGTGCCGGACTTTTATGATACAGAAATGCAGATCCTTCAGTTCTGGGAAAGTTTTTTTTACACGTGAGATGTAATTCATATAATTTTAAAGTGTGTAGCTCAGGGTTGTGTGTGTGTGTGTGTTCAGAAGGGTGTGCAGCCATGGCCACTGTTTAATCCAAACATTTTCATCACCCCAGTGAGACGTCAGGTACCCATTAGTGGTAACTTTCCATTCTTCCCTCCCTGAATCCCTGGCAACCACTAATCTACTTTTTTGTCTTTAGGTTTGCCTATTCTGAATATTTCATGTGAATTAAGTGATACAATATGTGGCCTTTTGTGTCTGGTTTCTTTCACTTAGCATCATGTTTTCAAGGTTCATCTGTGTTGTACCACGTATCAGTTGTTCATCACTTTATGGCTGAGTAGTATTCCACCACGTGGATATAGTGGGTTTTGTCAGTTCATCAGTTGGTAGACATTTGACTGATTTCCAGCTTGATCTTTCATGAACAGTGCTGCTCTGAAACTCATGTGTAACTTTTTGTGTGGACATGCATTTTCATTTCTCTTGGGTATATACACCTAGGAATGGAATTGCTGGGTTATATGGTAACTTTCTGTTTAACTTTTTGAGGAACTGCTGAAATGGCCACACCATTTTTAATTTCCACCAGTCATGTAGGGATTCCGATTTCTCTGCATTCTCACAGACACTCATTATTCTCCTTCTTTTTATTGTAACCATCCCAGTGCACGTGAAGTGGTATCTCATTATGATTTTGATTTACATTTTTAAAATTATTTGACTTACAATTTTTGTAAAAAGTGATATAGATATTGAGCATCTTTTCATGTGCTTATTGGTCATTTGTATATCTTCTTTAGAGAAATATCTATTCAAAAACCTTTGCCTGTTTTAAAATTGGGTTGTCTTTTTATTGTTAAATTGTAAGCATCCTTTATATATTCTTGATACCAGTCCCTTATTAGATCTTTTTTTGGTTTTAAAGTGTAAATTTCTCTTTTTTTTTCTTTCTGGAATGTCTATTAATATGATGCTGGAATTCATGGATGAACCTCTTTCCTGATCACGTACATGTATTTGTCTTTATTCTACCTTCTGGGAGAGTCTGTCAACTTGAACTTCCCATTCTGTATTGAAGTTTTGTTTTGATGGCCATCATGAACATGAGGCACTAGAAACTGTTAGGAAGTCTAAGTGCCTGGGTGGGACTTGCTGACTGGCTGGTTTTTGCTGTCAGGAGCAGGAACTAGCAGATTTTGGGGGGGCAGTCTCCAAAGGTCATTGTTTTAAGTCTTCTCTGGTGTGTGACAGTTCTCTGAAAAGGACCTGCCAGGGAGGGTCTAACCCTGACTGCCTGATAGCTAGATGGGGAAGGGGCTGGGTGTCTTCAATGTCTACATCCATACAATATTCAGAATTTTTTTTGTTTTGTTTTTTTAATTTTTATTTAATTGATTATGCCATTACAGTTGTTCTGTTCCCCCCCTTCATTCCCCTCCACCTTGCACCCCCCCACCTCCACCATTCCCCCTTTAGTTTATGACCATGTGTCTCAAGTTCTTTAAATTCTATATTTCTCATACTATTCTTGCCTCCCCCTATCTATTTTCTGCCTCCCGTCTATGCTACTTATTTTCTGTACCTTCTCCCCACTTCTCCTCCTCCCACTCCCCTGTTGCTAACCCTCCATGAGATGCAGGGAGTTCATCATCACCAAGCCCTTATTACATGAAATGTTAAAGGGACTTAACTAAGAAAAAGAAGTTAAAAAAACATGAACAGTGAAAGGACAACAAACTCACAGTTATTAACAACCACACCTAAAACAAAAGCAAACTAAATATTCAGAATTTTTCTTAATCCACATTTTAAGGTTTGCAGTCTTCTAGTGTTTTGAGTCTGGTACAGTTTTTCCAGAAAATAACTCCCATTTTCTTTGGAGATTCCTGGTTTCAGTTATCTACCTCATTACTTTCTTTTGAGGTGCTTCTCACCTTAATTTCTAATTTTAGGGGGTCTTAGCAGGGGGAGTCGGCTTGCTCATGGTCAGTGTCTTACTTATTGATTATAGAGAGAGAAGAAGGAAGGGAGAGAGAGGGGGAGAGAAACGTTAATGTGAGAGAGAGAAATCAACTGGTTGCCTCTCGTACGCACCCTGACCAGGGACTGAACCCATAACCTAGGTGTGTGCCCTGACTGGGAATTGAACGCGCAACCTTTCGGTTTATGGGATGACACTCCAATAAAACTGAGCCACATCAGCCAGGGCCAGGGTCTGTCTTGTGCAGTCATTTGAGTTTTACTTTCTTTTTCTGGGCAAATCACCAAGTTGGCAACAATTTGTCTGAGTTGTCAAGCTGGCAGTTCCCCGGGGACCCTTGAGCAAAGTGCCCTCCTTCCCATTGGGAAATGCTGAGGTGAGAGTGTCTGCCTGGGTCCAGCCTCGCCAGGTCTCAGTGTCCCCGAAGGCTGGATGGCGCAGGCAACGAATGAAGAGTCGGACACCCGATTGGATGCTGGAAAACAGTCGGCCTCTATGGGTCCGACCAAACTCTCAGAGTTTGATTAAGCTTTATTTTTATAGAAATAGTTACATGACATCAAAGGAACGGGTGCATGGTGTGATCAGTTAAGCAGAAAAAGTCAGTACAGAAGTAACTTGGAAAAGTACAGGAGGTTCTACAGATTCAATTATGCTAAACAAAGGTTATTTTGACCAGGAGGGCCATTAATCAGACAATTAGAAATAGCTGTTATGTATAGAGCTTTAAATGTCTGTTGATGAATAGATGTTTATTAAAGTTCTTAGAATTTGGCATAGGTCAAAAGGATGCACTAGATTAAACAGTGGTTATAGAAAATTCATTAAAAGGCCTTTGAGGTGTCTAACTTAGCTATCTATCTTCCTGTCTAGACTCTTTCTTTATGTACTTTGGGCTCTAACTCCATTGTAATTGTTCCTATGTGCTTAGTTTGTAATAGTACACCAGCTTCCGCCACTTCTTTACCTATCTAATCCCATTAATATATATTCCTGTCCAAGGTGGAGAAGGGGCTGTTACTCTGTCAACTTTCAGACGTTCAGGGGCTACCCCATCAGGGGGGACTTTTGTTCTATGGCCAAAAAATCATTTTGTACAACTCGTTGGAATTCTGCGGATCATTGGACCTGAAATACAGATGTCTAAAAATCCTATACCACCTATAAATAGCAAAGACACACATGCAAGAAGAGATAGACAGGAAATCCAGCCACAGTTGCCTCTGCTGTGCAGGTGCATCTCATCCATACCAACTGTGCCAAGGGTCGGCTGTTGGTCAGCTCCTGACAAGGGTCAGCACCTCTTTCTGGAAGGGAGGTGAGCTTACTGAGTGAAGAGACGGCCAGTGCCAGGGCTTTCCTGCCACTTACAGTTGTAGGAAGAAAGATTGATAAGGGTTGGCTGGGGGAGGGGAGATGCGGCATCCAGTATGAACAGTGGCTCTCACTTCTTGGTGCCTCCCATGACATGTCCCGTTTGTTCCTAGGTGACTCCACTGGGCCTTACGCTGAACTTCCTCTCATTCTTCACTGGACTGGTTGATTTTATGCACTTGGATCCCAAGAAAGCTGGAACATATTCTTCAAATCAAGCAGTAAGTGATGTTGCCCCCGTGTTTTCTTAATTCCCATCGTAGTCCAGTTAGCTGCCCGGTGTCTCGGTTGGGCAGGTCCTCCCTGGATGCAGGGAGGAGGAGAGGGGAATGATAAGTGCTCAGAGGGATTGCAAGAAACCACCAGTGGTTATCTCTGGGGACTGAAGTTGGAGAAGGAGCCTGTGGAGGAGAAGGAAACTTTGTTTCATTTCTTATCCTTCCATATAGTTTGATTTTTTTTTGGTAGCAAATCTTTTGCTTTTATAATTTCAAGTGTTTCAGAGGAATATTTAACAGGAGAGAATAAGATGTATGTTTACATAGAAAAATGTAATTAAAAAATACTATGAGTATAATAGACCCAGTTTAAGAGAACAAGGAATATGTCTAAGTAGAAAAATATGATTTAAAACATGCTAAGGGTATATGTAAAAAGACCTAGTTTTGAAAAAAACTAAGGAGCGTACCTAGTTAAAATACTGAACGGTTATGCGAACAGGTCTGAATGGTGATTAACTGTGGGTGATTTTTTCTACCCTTATATAAAAATTCAAATTTTCTACAATTAACATGGATACTTGAGAAGAAAATTCTAATATGTAGGATTCAGAATATTTTTAACCTAAAGTGATTTATTTCTTTTTTTTTGTCCATGGTAATGGATTCTATAGAGATGTCTTTGTAAAAAGCTGAAATAGGCTTTTCCACCATGTAATGATAATACTGTTAACATTTGGTCCACCTCTTTCTAATAACTATCTTCTCCCTGTAGTCATATTTGCGTACAGAGTTGAGGCATTTTGCATGCTGACACCCAGTGGTCAGAGCGGGCCGTTTCAGGTGTAGTGACCTCTCCCATGGTGTCTGTTGCACGTGCACTGTTGTCCTCGTGGCCTTGATGCATTGGACATAGCTCCTCTGGGACCCTGGGTTTGAATCTTCTGCATGCTGCTTGATGTGCAACTCAGTTTTAGTACTTACGTCCACGACCTGGTCAGCACGCGGAGTCCTGACCTCCGGAAGTCTGCCTGCGGGGACCTCAGCTCCCGTGTGCCTCCTCCTGTTCATTATGTCCTTTCCCTTCTCTAGGTAAGGGCCTGCGTCCTCTGTGTCCATCCTCGGACCAGGGCTGTGCGGCTGAGCCTGCGCCCCGTCTTCCTGCAGCCCGGGCGCCCACTCACCCGGCTGTCTTGTCAGCACCTGGGAGCTGTCCTGGATGACATTCCTGTCCAGGACTTTTTCAGCAAGGCTGGGGCCACATTCAGACTGAAGGATGGGTCTCTGGCCTATGCTCGGGTACGGAGTCTTTTTCTTTCATTAGGATCTTACCACTAGAAGGACTGTTGGGACATACGGGTCCTTTTCTGCTTCTTCCATTCCGTAATTAGTCTCCAGTTTTTGAATATTCCCGAGTGTGGCAGACCGGGACCAAGCAGTGCCTGTTCGGTATATCAGAGTGCCTCGGAGTAGGTTCGATGTATTTGATACCTAGCAGATTATAGGTATAAGAGCGAATTAGGATCTACGCCAAGTTTTTCTTGAAGGTCCAGATAGTAAATATTTTAGGCTCACAGGCCATATGGCCTCTGTCCTAACTAGTCAACTCTGTGGTTATAGCCTGGAAGCACACACAGACACCATGTAAATGTACGGGCACGGCTGTGTTCCAGTAAAACTTTAATTTACAAAAATAGGCACCAGCTGTGAGCTGTAATTTACTAACCCATGATCTAGACCGTTCTCTGACATAGAGATTCTGCAATGATAAAGAGCAGTTTTGTAGTTGGAAGAATTATTTTAACAGGTTATTAGAGGACTGATTTTATGGTAGGTGATTAATGTCATCTTCTTTTGTTTTAATGTCTGATTGCCTCAGATCTGTTGTCTCTGGCTTACCCCTAATCACTTGGTACTTTGTAGCTCAGCCATCTCTCTGATTCTAAGAGTGCCTTCAATCCTGGGGCCTTCAAGCCAGGAAACACTCACAAGTGTAGAATCATCAACTACAGCCAAATGGACGAACTGGCTTTGCTCTCGCTGCGGACGTAAGTGTTTTCAGCACGTGGGGGGTGTGGCGGTGGGCTGTGGTCCTGTGCAGACGTGCGTTCGCATTTTCTCCTGGCCTGCTTAGCAGAGGTTTCCCTTCTTGCCAGTGTGATTTTAGTAGCCCTGAATCTTAGGTACCTCTGCCCTGGCTTGTTTAATCTTATATTTCCTTTTGTTCTAGGTCTGTTATTGAAGCTCAGTACCTGAGCTTTCATGACATCAAGCCTGGGGCATTGGTAAAGGTAAGGCCTCAAGCATCTAGATGCTCCCCCGGCTTCAAACATGTTTTATTTCACAGGTTAATGGTCCATTCATTTGCCCTCATGGGAACACATTTAAAGCCACATTCCTTGCCTCTCTGCCTGCTAACTGGGATTTTTTTCCTTCCCTTGGGGAACTTGTCATTGATTTTAAGGTAGGGTCTCAGCAGGACCACCCAACGACGGAGGTGGTAGTCATCAACCCTGGCATGTATGGCGTTTATTACACCAGGTCAAAAGGTAGTTCTGTGACGATCTGCCTGCCTGGCATGTTAGTAAGGAGCCAGTTCCTGTGGCTTCTCCTTTTCAACCCTTTAGCCCTAATTGAGCAGCTCCCCTTTATTTTTTAGGGGACACAGTCCCCTCCTTTAGAGAATACACGTGTAAGGCAGACACACACAGAAAAAGACACGAAAGTTCCCATACATAAATCCGACTGCATCCAGCACAGTGTGGGCTGTGTGCTTTACCCCTCTGAGATTTGGAATAACAGGCACATTTAGCCCAGAAACCTGGACTTCGAAAGAGAGCTGTGACATGCATTGTTTTAACCGGTGGAGGAAACCGTTCTGGAGGCGTGATGCATCTTCTGTTGGGACTCCCTAGGGCACAGTGCTGACCATAAAGCCATACGGGATGTTGGTGAAGGTGGGTGAGCAAATCAGGGGCCTGGTACCTCCCATGCATCTGGCTGATGTCCTGATAAAGAATCCAGAGAAGAAGTACCACATTGGGGATGAAGTCACATGCCGGGTGAGCCTTCTGCAGGGTCTCTGTTGGGGATTTGGCCCGATGGGAAGCGTAATGCTTTTCAGACAAAGTTTCTGCCCATTTCCAGTAATTGATCCCATAATATCTTCCGTGTTATGCCAGCATTGGGAAGAGAACACTGGCTTCCTGTCTTTGAGAATTGTGTAGTATGATCTAGAGTTAAAACATCTATACACGAAGAGAACAGGCCAGTGTGTGTGACCTTTTGCCACATGGTTTGGTGCAGTGTCTACTCCGATCATATCTCAGAAAGGGGAGGTGAGGGTGGACCAGGGCAGTGAGAATCATTGATGATGGCAGTAGCAACTACCATGCAACATGTATTTTGCGCCAGTTGCTGTGCTAGGCACATGAAATGCATTATTTCGTTTAGTCCTTAAAACAAACAACCCTGTAAAGTAAGTACTATTATCCTTATTATGCAGGTGGGGAAATTAAAGCTTAGGAAAGCCAAGTATCTTGCCCAAAGTCACACAGCTAGTAAATGGCAGAACCAGTTTTCACATTTAGCTCTGTGTATCAGTAATGTATCCTTGATGTCTGGTAGAAGTGGGACTTGAAAGGACAGGTAAGATTTTGTAGGTTGAGGAGGAGCAGGCAGTATGTCAGGCACCAAAATAGCCCAAACAAAGCTACTGAAATGGAGTGTCTTATTACAAAGGCTTGAATCTCAAGCTTCATAAAGTGAGATTAAAGGTGATAGTACACAGTACTTTTCATTATTTTCATTGTATTTTATTACTGCGTTTTCTTGTTTTCATTTTATTTCACTTCAGTCAACCAAGAGATTGATTACCCATTGGCACAATAGTTTATGGCTGTGGGGTCAGGAAGCTTACAAGTAGAGGAATATCTCTGCCCTTGGGGAGGTGGCTTTCTGAGGGATGAGAGATGGTTGGATCTCCTGAGCTCAGCTTACAGCTAATACACAGGGGGTAAATTGCCTCAGCCATTCCTTCTATCAGACGAGATACTCTCGTGGTCTAGGAAGGAGCTAAGGCCAGTAGAAGTAACTGTGACGCAGGCCTCTGCAGGTGCAGTGGGTTGATGAGTGTTGCTGCAGACCCCGGAGGGAGCTTATGGGAGGGAGTGCATTTGAAACGGATGAATGCTGCCTGGGTTGTCGCCCAGCAGGAAGCAGGGAGGGTCTGCAGCTGAGATTATTCTCAGGAAGGAAGAGATAGTGGGTTCTTAGGGACTGGCCACAGCTTCTGGTTCAGGGGGTTGCAGAGACCAGCTCGGTGGCCCTCTTGGTAATGGGTAACTTGATGACAGCCAGGATCCTTTTCCCTAGGTTTTGCTTTGTGACCCTGAAGCCAAAAAGCTGATGATGACCCTGAAGAAAACCTTGGTTGAGTCCAAACTTCCTGCCATCACCTGCTATGCCGATGTCAAGCCTGGTCTGCAGACACATGGCTTCATCCTCAGGGTCAAGGACTATGGCTGCATTGTGAAGTTCTACAATGATGTGCAGGGACTGGTACCCAAGCATGAGCTCAGTTCCGAGTATGTCCCTGACCCAGAGAGGGTCTTTTATATCGGCCAGGTAATTCTTTCCCCAGACAGGCTCTGACCCTTGGTGACCCCATGACCACAGATTTGAAGGAGTGGTACGGAGAGCAATTTTTTAATAGATGAGGAAGAGACCATATGGTGCAGTGGGCCTGAGCCAGCTAGGTGGAGGGGTTGGGAACAGAACAGAGAGAAACCCTCTAGAGGTTTCAACAGGAGCTGGCAAACTAATGGACCTCAGACCCACAATCTGGAAGAAATTCATCTTTCCCGGTAACGCAGTGGTGTCCCTCACATCAGAAGTTGTTCTGAGGCTGCTGCCACCACCAGGGGGCAGTGCCATAAAACTAGAGAATCTGGGTCTGTCTAGGAAGAACTGTTTAGAATTTGAAGTAGTACCAAAAATGTATTCATGTGTTACTTTCACCTAAAGGCTGCCTCGGGGAGGGAGTTTCTCTGTAGTTCTCCATGCATTTCTTTTCTCTGCATTCTGGTCCGATCCAGAATCTGGGTGGATCTCCCAAGGCCTCTGTAGCGCTGGTGGAAGACACCTGTCTCCAGGGTCTGACAGGCCTGTTGGGAGGAGTTCGCTGAGCAGGTGTGGTTTCCCACCAGGTGGTGAAGGTTGTGGTGCTAAACTGTGAGCCATCCAAAGAGAGGATGCTCTTGTCCTTCAAGCTATTGAGTGATCCAAAGAAAGAGCACTCGGGACGCAGCCAGAAGAAAGGAAAAACCATTCACGTTGGGCAGGTACATGGACTTCTCCAGAGGGGTTGTTTGAGTTTACAGTTGCCGCGAGCAGGTGCCCCTGACATGTGGGGCACTGGAACCCGGGGGTGGAAAGGGCCGAGGTAGCAAGCTGAGATGCTGGGGCCAGCGTGAGTTGGGGTTGTGAGGGGGAACCTCACAGGTATTCTTTCCTGGATGTCAGAGCGAATGGCACCTGTCTGGGACAGGAACGCTGTGTCGTGGGGGGGCCTTTCGGCAGTGTGTGCTGCCCTCTTTCCTCTCGTTCCTAGGGCCATGCTTCATGACCGTCCTTCCTCTGGGACCCCGTGGAGGGGCTTGGCTTGGGAGAGGGATGGCATGAACACACTGACGGGTGCGGGCGGGCTCATGGGTGCGCCTACTGGACCTTTGGGATGGCGGTGTGGAGTGTGGAGAAAGCTCTGATCTTGACCTTTCCGTGATTCCTCGTGCTGGAATTGGATGCCTCTGGTCTCTGCCTGACCTGGATGAGGTTGCTCTCTCTGCCCAGTACAAGTGCTATTTTTTTTCCTCTTTCTCTTCCCTGGATAGTTGGTGGATGTGAAGGTTTTAGAGAAGAGCAAAGATGGGCTGGAGGTGGCTGTGCTGCCCCACAACATCCCAGCTTTCCTCCCCACGTCTCACCTGTCGGACCACGTCGCTAATGGCCCACTGTTGTATCACTGGCTCCAGGCTGGTGATACCCTTCACAGAGTGCTGTGTCTGAGCCAGAGTGAGGGCCATGTCGTATCCTTTAGTAGTATCTGGGGAGTCACAGTCACTGTCGGGAGACTGGGTTGGGCTGTGCTCTTAGTCGGAAACCCCATGGGAATAGTTGGCCATTTGACTACTTCCATAAAACCAAACCAGTGAGCAAGCCTGCACTTCCCTGTATTTCCCTGGTGGAAACTAAGAGTGGGAGTGGAATCCCACCAGCAGATGCCAGTGGTCGGGGCAGAGTGGAGGCGGTGTGGCCTGCCAGGCCCAGCGGGGCAGTTCCAGTAGCGCCTCTGCCTTCTCAGGGTGCTCAGTGCTTGCCCCTTGAGTTGGAATAATTAACAGAGTAGTTGCTGTCCTTTTCCACCCTCATCTCCCCAAAGGGATGTTGGGCTCAGAATGTTCCCTTTGATCTTGGTGTGGGTGTTTTGAAGGAGAACATTGCCTCTTTTCTCACAGAGCATAAAATCCCCTTGGAGTGAAGAGAGGCAGAGGAGCTGAGGTAGGGTTGGTTAGTGGGAAGATCTCGGAGGACCGATTTGGGGCTGGTCCAGTTGCCGAGCCGCAGGGAAGAGCCATTCCCGTCCCCCCCATCCCCCCCCCCCGCCCACTGGTAGTCTGGGGTTAAGGAAAGGAGCAGAACAGTGAGTCTCCAACTTGACTGTGCATCCGAATCACGAGGGGGTGGGGGGCTGCTCCCACAGCTTCCTGGGCCCTACCTCAGGGTTTCCAGTGCGTGGGTCCAGGGTGGTGCTTAAGGATTTGCATTTCTTACAAGTTGCAGGTGCTGCTGGTGCTGCTGCTGCTGCTGCTGCAGGTCTGCACACTTAGAAACCCACAGGAGGAGCAGGGAAGCGTGGTGGCGAAGGATGGGGAGGGGGACATTTCATCTGCCCTTTCTGGAATATTCCTTGACGAAGTGCCCCAGCTCCTTTGTAGGAAGCCAGCGTTGGTTTCCACAGTAGAGGGTGGCCAGGATCCCAAGAGCTTCTCAGAAATCCAGCCTGGAATGCTGCTCATTGGTTTCGTGAAGAGCATCAAGGACTACGGTGTGTTCGTCCAGTTCCCTTCAGGTCTCAGCGGACTGGCCCCCAAAGCTGTAAGTGCCGCTCTGTGCACGAGGGCACAGGGTCGTGGAACCAGAGGGTTGATGGGAAGGAGCAGGATATGTCGATGCCTTGGAAGATTTTCAGGGGCCTGGTGTTAAGGCCCCTGGTTGGGGGGCATGGAGCTGAGATGCTGTCCCTGCCCTTCTGTGCAGCTGTGTCCTGCGGGAAAGGCGCCTTTTCTCCTTCACACTCTGTTTTGATGGAAGGAGTGTGAGACTGGACTCAGAGACGGCTGGGGCAACTTTATGGGTCCCATCTCCCCGCCTTTCACACCCCTTTCTGGGCACGTTAATGGATTGTCTTAATAGAGACGTGTTTCCCCATTTTCATTTTCTGCCTGTTCTGTTTAGATCATGAGTGACAAATTTGTGACCTCCACAAGTGACCACTTTGTCGAGGGGCAGACGGTGGTGGCGAAGGTGACCAACGTGGATGAGGAGAAGCAGCGGATGCTGCTGTCTCTGCGGTTGTCAGACTGCAGTCTGGGGGACCGGGCCACCACCAGCCTTCTGCTCCTGAGCCAGTGCCTGGAGGAGCGGCAGGGCGTGCGCAGTCTCATGAGCAGCCGAGGTGTGTACTTGGGCGGGGGGTGCCAAGGGCAGGGGCCAGGTGGGGTTCCTGCGTAGTAATGGTGCCCACCTGTTCCCCTGAGTAGTTGGGCTTTCTAGATACTGACAACACTTTTGATTAACTATAGAATGGGAGCGTGATGCATGAAGTGCACAGATCATTTATGGTTCAGCTCAGTAAACGTGTATAAAAGGAACATGCCCGTTTACCTATTACCCAGCCTTAGATAAAGATCACTGCCCTCATCCTGGGCCCCCTTGCACACTTGTCCAGTCTAGAACCAGAACTTCCCTCAGTTCTGTGCCTTCTCAGGGTTGCCTTTGTTGTGAATCCATTTTCCTCCTCACTTTTTGTTCCCTTGTGTGACCTGCCAGGGGTGGTAAGGTGGGATAGGGACCTGCCAGAGGGTTTGGTGAGGGGTTGGTTGCTGTTTTGACCCTTCTGAGCTTTGAACCGCTGCGGTGGGTTGTTGGCACCCTAACGGGGTTTGGGAGTAAGAAGCTCAGGAGGGTAGAGTCCAAAGAGAAAGAAAGAGAATTCAGAAAGCAGGGGAAAGCATGTGTTTCCGGCATCGTTTGGCTGTATTCGTGAGTTATGGCCAGGTGGAATTAGCACGAGCCATCGGTTCTGTCCCTGTGATAGGAGTTTTCCCGGGTGTCAGACACTTTTACCCAAAGTGACGTCACCTTCACAGTGCTTCAGCGCTCCACTGTCCTCCACGCAGTAGCGCATTTCCGAAGGAAAAGAGTGGTAAGAATGTTGTTTCTTCTTGCTAATTCTTGTTTCCTTTGGGGCTCTGCCAGACTCTGTGTTGATGCAGACGCTGGCCGAGATGATCCCAGGGATGGTCCTTGACCTGGAGGTGCAGGAGGTGTTGGGAGATGGCTCTGTGGTGTTCAGCGAGGGCCCGGTGCCTGGCCTGGTTCTGAGAGCCAGCAGATACCACCGGGCAGGTGAGTGCTTTGGTCTTGCCCACCGTGGCTGGTGGGGAAACCCTGGCCCATTGCTTCCTTCCCTGGATACAGAATTTCCAAATACATGGGGTAGATGAGCTGATTGAGTAGGAACTGTTGGTGTGCCTGTCCTGTGTGAATGCAAATCAGGACAACTGACGGCATTCTAAAGAAGGTTTAGGTAGGAATCCTTTTCTTGTTAAAATTAGATAAATCTAGGTTTTTATACATCAGGTTGCGTAAGTTAAGACACACCTGAACTTGAACTGTGGGAGCCAGGCCCTTGGTGGCCTGGGGGCGGTGACTGTGCCGTGTCGGTTCTGCACTGCAGGGCAGGAGGTGGAAGCTGGGCAGAAGAAGAAGGCCGTGATCCTGCATGTTGACACGGTGAAGTTGGAAGTGCACGTTTCCCTGCGCCACGATTTGGTGAATAGAAGAGCTAAAAAGGTAAGCTCGCCGATGACGTTCATTCCCATGGTTTTAAAGGCATTATATACCCTTCAGCCACACACATCTTGCCTAGGAATTCTAACACAAATATTTGGAGATGGGCTGACCTCATGCCTGGTTGTGTCTGTGTCATTCCCAGTTCATAACCTGTCATCCTGGTGAGTTAGTAGCACCGACTTTCATTCTAGTTCAGATGATAAGGGCCAAGCAGGTAGCGTGAATGAGGGAAGCGGGCCAGGTGGGTTCGGGGGTGGGAGCAGTAAGCCTTTGCCAGCCTGCAGGGTGCGCGCCCTGACCGCTGAGGGGACGGACCATTCGTTTCCCTCTGCTGGTCATCAGGCAGGAGCGTCTGGTGTTGCTAGTCTTCGATTGTTAAGAGCAGGCTGAATTTGGATTTTTATTTGAAATAAGAGTGGGAAAGGTTGAAAACCATTTTAAAAACGTCACATGACCCGAAAAAAACATGTCTGTGGGTAGTTCCAACCTTCAGGCTGCTCTTCGATACCCTCTCCTGAACGCTTTTGTGTGAGAGAATTATGGGTTCGAGCAGAATCTCCAGTCTCACAGAATTGTCTCTGGGTGATGTTTATATTTGGTCATTGTCTAAAATACTTACTAAGCACTCAGTTGAGTAGGGTATGGTATGAGGAGGTAGTACATACGGATAATTCTTAACCTCTAGTTGCTTGTGATTTTAAGACTTCAAAGGACAAAGAGAAATAGAAAACAATACTGACCCCTCACTAAGTGTCCTAGCAGGTCCTTATTCCGTTTTATCATCCAAGTGGAGCTGGTACATGGCAGCATGAGTACAGCTTGGATTTAGGAGAAAGATGGGCTAAATGACTAGCACATAGTAGGCTCTTAGTAGTGACTCTTTGTTGAATGAAAGAGTAAATAAACCGGGGGGAGAGCTGTAGGACTGAGAGAGGCGGGAGCCATACTGTCTCAAAGCTGGAGTACCCTTACAAGTCACCTGGCGGATTTCACTAGTTCGAGGACAGGACCTGGACTTGGAATTCAAGCAGAACAGAAGCTAGCCCCAGGTGATTCTGGTGTGGCATCCTGATTTTAGTCCAGTCACCTCAATGGACAGGAGGGGAAAGCTTGGCGGAGGGAGTGAAGGCTGGTTTGTCACCACCCAGACCAGCCCTGGCTCCCCTGGGCGCTGCAGGCTTCCCCAGTCCCGCTCACCGTTGGAGCCCAGCAGGCGGTGCAGGAGTGTGAGCCCCATAACACGTGGGGATGGCGGGTCTCCTGTTTTCCAGCTGAAGAAAGGCAGTGAGCACCAGGCGGTGGTGCAGCACCTGGAGGAGCCCTTTGCCATCGCCTCCTTGGTGGAGACTGGCGACCTGGCAGCTTTCTCCCTGACCACTCATCTCAACGACACCTTCCGCTTTGACTCGGAGAAGTTGCAGGTGGGACAGGGCGTGTCCCTAACCATCAAGACTACGGAACCGGGAGTGACTGGCCTTCTTTTGGCTGTTGAGGGGCCAGCTGCTAAGAGGACCATGAGACAGACCCGGAAGGACTCTGAGACAGTCGACGAGGATGATGAAGGGGATCCAGCAGTGGTTGTAGGGACTAAAAAGGAGCATGCCCTCTCCATTGGGGACATGGTCACAGGGACCGTCAAGTCCATTAAGCCCACCCATGTGGTTGTGACCCTGGAAAACGGCATCATTGGCTGTATCCATGCCTCCCACATTCTACATGATGTTCCAGTGGGCACATCTCCTACTGCCAAGCTGAAAGTCGGGAAGACGGTCACTGCCCGAGTGATTGGCGGGCGAGACATGAAGACGTTCAAGTATGGAGGCTTTGGGGGGTGGGCGGTGTTGAGGAGAGGTGGTTGCGGACTTTGTGAGTCCGAGTGATGGTAGTGATTACTTCGTAGGGAAGTGGTGGAGACTGAGAGGAGGGCCAGTGTGTAACGTGCCTAACAGGCCGCCCTCTGCGTCAGCCGTCACTGTCATTCACCCTGCCCTGCACACCTGAGTTATACCCATTTGCTTTAAATCTTGGTACAATATGATATGGTAGAAGAAATCTTTGCTACAGTAAGAAAAGCAAAAAAAGCTTCAAAGTCTAGCAGTAAACTTGCATTATTAATTTCATTAACTAACTGTGAGATCCTCAGTAAGTCATTTATTTCCTCTAGACCTCGATTTCCTAACTTTCAGAATGAAGAAGGAGTTAGAGTATATAGTTTGTAAAGAAAATTATTTTCAGGGTTTCATACGAAAATCCTACAAGGTCAGACGAGCCAGCTCCTTAACGTGTACCGCAGAGAGTGGGACTCCTCAGGCCCGACCTGCCGTGGATGGCGGTGCGGCAGCCGGGCAGGTGGTTTTTCAAGTGTGCTGGGGAGTGGGCAGAAACTGTCCAGTGTATGCTGTTACAGAGAAAAAGAGAAATGGTTTATCTGATTTGTGTCCCCAGGTTTCTCCCGATAAGTCATCCCAGATTTATTCGAACCATCCCGGAGCTGAGTGTTCGGCCAAGGTGAGGGTAGCATCGTCTCATGGGAAGAGCTCTGGGCTTTGGAGGCAGGAGCCCGAGTCCTAGTCTCAGTTCTGTAGGTGTCGTGACTGACTTTGCCTCTCCGTCCGGGTTGGCTTACCAGTCTTTCTCTAGTAGGGATATTTGGCTCTCAGAGGGCCAGTTAGTGGGATTACATGAAAATTAATGTAAAAACTGTATTCAGGGCTTAAGTATCATTTAAAGGCTTGATAGCAGTTCTGTCTGTAGGTGTGTAACAAAAAGAAATAATTCTGCTCTCAACCCAGTTTCCTAAATGAACGCTATGTAGCCAAGAATACTTGTTTTCAGAGTGCAGACTACTACGTGGTGACTGGAATTTTAGGTCGTGCTCTAGTGGACTCTGCAGAGGAGAAGGAAGTAGTAGTTGTAGGTGGTGGTGGGTCCAGTTTGTGTGGGGTCATTTTTTCAGAGGATCTTAAGCATCTTGATCCATGGGCCTGTCTGCTGTGCACCCTCCATAAAAACAAACCAAAAACCCCCAGCCTTTCAGAATTGATAGGCCATCCATGAATGACTGTGGGCATGGCTTGCAGAGCCAGCCCTGGGACCTACGCACGGTGTAAGTCTTACCTGCCTAGGGCTATTATGGAAGGGCCTCTGAGGTAGCTTTCAGGGAGTAAGATTTGGTCCTCATCCTGATGGGCTCCAGTGGAGTATTTCTGGGAAGGGTTGTGTCTGAGACAGGGAAGTAGCCCTGGAACCCTGAATCCCAAATGCCCACAACACCCTCGGGGCTCGAAGAGGAGCCCTTTAGTCCGAAACAATGGGATTCAGTGGGGCACACATTCCCGTTTGTTCAAATCTCCTGTTGTTCAACCCTAGTTTTATAGAGTTTTTTGTGTCCCTCCAGTCTCTTTGTTTTGGGGAGAGAAAAGAGACCTCATCATATTAGTTGTTGCATAATGAGCTTCACCTCTGAGGCATGGTGTCTTGTTTAATTAAGGGTTGAGGTCGGGTAGTTTATTCAAGCTAAGGGTAGATGTCTTAAATTAATGAATACTGTAAGGGAAAACCCACTGTGATCCTGAGTGGCCCTTGCCCCCCTCATTAACTAACACTGCTATTGTTGGTCAGTGGTCCACCCTCCTGTCTCGGGAGGCAGAGGTATGACCCAAGTGGTGGTACCACTTGGCTGTGGTAGTGGGGGCGCGCCTGGCCACAGTGCATGTATTGAGCAGGTGGGGAATAGTAGTTGTAGTAACAGAAGGATGGACAATGGGTGAACTTGGACACATCTGCCGCCTCCTCCTGCACCTGCGTTGTATTGTTATTTACTTTAATCAAGGCCTCTGAGAAACAACATAGTGTAAATATAATAATAGGATTACTGCCACATTTCTGTAATGCTTATGTTTTAAAATAGGTATTTTGAAGTCCGGAGGAAAAACATTTCATTGATGGTGTCGACTTATTGAGGAAATATAGTCATACTTTTATTCCCTACTTATGCAGATCTTGTGCACAGAGAGATTGCCATCAGTGCCAGAGTTGGGTTCAAGGTTACTGGGGGTCACCCAAGATAAGACACTTCCCACTCCTTCACTCTTTTGTAGGAGCAGAGTTTAGAGTGAAACAGTTCAAGAGTCTTAAAATGTATCTCAAATTCCTATTGGTCTCTTAGCATTAATTCAATTAGGCCAACCCTTCTACCCTTCCTTTTTTTTTTTTTTTTTGCAGTTGTTCTGTAGGTAGGCAATTTAAAATTATTTTGGGAAAAAGGATAACACACACCTATTGTGTGTGTATCTTCTTTTTTATGGGTTATTTTATTTTTTTGGTTTAAGCAGCAGATACCTGTTTTCTCACAATTCCGAAGGCTCGACATCTGAGATAAGGTGGTAGAGGGGTTCGTTCATCTGAGGCCTCTCAGTCTGAATTATAGGTGGCAGTCTTCCTTCCTCTCCACTGGTCTTCCCTTTACATATGTCTGTGTCTTAATCTCCTCCTTTTCTCTTTTATTGTGTTAAAAATACATAATATGAATTTACCAACAGGTTTTAAGTTTACATTACAGCCTTGCTGACTATATGCATGTCATTGTGCCGAGATCGTTCAATCTCGGTGTAACTGAAACTCCGTACCAGTGACCAGCTCTCTGTTCTCCCCTTCCCATCCGCCTCCACCAGCCAGCCTTCTACTGACATTTCTCTGAATTTGATTATGTGAGATACCGCATTTAACCAGAGTCATGCATAGCCCTTCTGTGACTGGCTAATTTCACTTAGCATCGTGTTCTCAAGGTTCACCCATGTTGTAGCATATAGCAGGCTTTTCTTCTTCTTGAGGCTGGATGATATCTCATTTTATGTGCAGACTGCATTTTCTTTATCCGTTCCTCCACCGAGGGACACTTGGGCTGCTTCCACACTCGGCTGTTGTGAGTGATGTCTGCACAGATACCTCTTTCAGACCCTATTTCCTTTTTTTAACATGCATTGGGTTGGCCAAAAAGTTTGTTTGTTTTTTCTATAAGGAGACTGTAGTAGTGCTTAGTTGTCTTTAACAACTAATTTGAAATAATTTTGTGAGATTATTTTTTTAACATTTTTTAAATTGATTATGCCATTACATTTGTTCTGTTCCCCCCCTCTGTTCCCCTCCACCCTTCACACCCCTCCCCCACCATTCCCCCCCTTTAGTTCATGATCACGTGTCTCAAGTTCTTTAGATTCTGTATTTCCCCTACTATTCTTACCCTCCCCCCTATCTATTTTCTATCTACTGTCTATGCTACTTATTTTCTGTACCTTCTCCCCCCTTCTCCTCCCACTCCCCTGTTGCTAGTCCTCTACGTGATCTTCATTTCTATGGTTCACTCCTGATCTAGCTGTCCTCTTAGTTTGCTTTTGTTTTAGGTGTGGTTGTTGATAACTATGAGTTTGCTGTCCTTTCACTGTTCATCTTTTTTATCTTCTTTTTCTTAGGTAAGTCCCTTTAACATTTCATATAATAAGGGCTTGGTGACGATGAACTCCTTGAATTTGATCTTATCTGAGAAGCGCTTTATCTGCCCTTCCATTCTAAATGAAAGCTTTGCTGGATAGAGCAATCTTGGTTGTAGGTCTTTGATTTTCATGATTTGGAATACTTCTTTCCAGCTCCTTCTTGCTTCAAGGTTTCTTTTGAGAAATCTGCTGACAGTCTGATGGGAACTCCTTTGTAGGTGACAGTCCCCTCATCTCTTGCTGCTTCTAGGATTCTCTCCTTCATTTTAATCTTGGCTAATGTAATGATGATGTGCCTTGGTGTGTTCCTTCTTGGGTCCAACTTCTTTGGGACTCTCTGAGCTTCCTGGATTTCCTGGCAGTCTATTTCCTTTGCCAAAACGGGGAAGTTCTCCTTTATTATTTGTTCAAATAAGTTTTCCACTGGTGGCTGTTCCTCTTCCCCTTCTGGTACCCCTACTATTTGGATGCTGGAGTGTTTAAAGATGTCCTGAAGGTTCCTAAGCCTCTCATTTTTTTGAATTCTTGTTTCTTCATTCTTTTCTGTTTGGTCGTTTTTTCCTTCATTCTGGTCTACTCCCTTGATTTGAGTCCCAGTTTCCTTTCCATTGCTATTGGTTTCCTGTGCATTACCATTCATTTCAATTAGTTTAGCTTTCATATGTTTCTCTAATTTGTGACTAAAATCAACCAGTTCTGTGAGGATCCTGATCACCAGTGTTTTGAACTGTGCATCTGAAAGTTTGGCTATTTCTTCATTGCTTAGATTTATCGGCTCTGGGGCTCTGAGTTGTTCTTGAGCTATTTTTGGTCTGTTCGCGTCCCTTAAGTATGAGGAGCTGAGCCTTAGTTGTTTACCAGGGCTGGGCCACCCAGGTCGCTGGTTTGTGACGCTGTATGTGGGGGCGGGGTCAGAGAGGGAGCAATGGCGGTCCCACCGCTCGCCCCCTGCCTGTTTATCTGAGCAGAAATGTGCGAGCCCGCCGTGCGGTCTGAATGCTCGCCTCTTCACTAGTTTATCTGCACACAAATGCTCGGCTGACCGGCTGACCGTACCTAGCCTGCACGTGGGATCTGCGCCTTCGGCTGCTTGCGTACCACCCCAGTTGGGGATCTTTTTGGCCAACCTGCTCTGCTGCTGGCTTTGCCCCTCTTACTGGTTTAGCTGAGCATTTTGTTGTTTTCGAACTCTGTATTGTCGATTTTCTGTGTGGTTTGGTTGCGTTTATTGTTGTTAAAACTTTGTTGTTTTTAGATTTGGTTGCGCACGGACACAAGGTGTTTCCACCTATGCCTCCATCTTGGCAGAAGTCCCCCGTTAGATTATTTTTTTGTGATGGAGCTTTGAAGAACACCAGGCAGATTGGATTAAGGCCTATTCCAGTGGCCTCATACTGATTCATTACCTCATTAAATTCCCTGTCTCCCTATGTAGTTGCATTCTGAGGCTCAGGGTTAGTGCTTCCACATAGGGATTTGGGTGGGTGGGGATACAATTCAGCCCATAACAGGCATTTCAGTGTCTGGCTGTGGGGTGATGCGTTCTTTTTAGCTGAACCTCAGAAGTGTTAGCTGGGCTGGGTGAGGAGGGTGGGAGTTCCGTGGCTCCTTTGAGGTACTTGGTGGACTGATAACTTTCAGACCACATCCTTCTGTTGCTTTTCTGAGAAGAAGGAGAATCAGGGAAGTAATTACGGCAAGGTAGCATAGGGGACAGAGCCCTCAGTTCATCACAATAGCATGAAGTGAGTTTAATAGTGTCTGCCCTGTCTCCTTCACACATGAGAGTGCTGTCACATTCAGTGAGAGATTATTTGTGAAAGCAGTTCTGCTAACTGTAAAGCAATGGTTCAAGTATTGAGGAAGAAGTGAAATAATTGTGTTTCCTGAAATTACAAAGATTGTTGTGGGCTACCTACATCATAGCTTGCTCATTCATACCTAGGTGAGTGAAATGGAAAACGTTAGCTGTCTCATGGGTGTTGTGAGCCTTCCCCTTTAAGGAGAGAAGTGAGGGTGTATGAGTTGGGGAGTCGTGTACAGTCTATCCACGGCCCCTTGTTGGGGGAGGGCGGTTTCAGGCCAGAAGCTTATCCAGAGTTTGGTTTACTCTCTCCATCACCTTTCTGCAAACAGTGAGTTGGCGAAGGATGGCCACACTGCCCTCAACACGCACTCCGTCAGCCCTTCAGAGAAGATTAAGCAGTACCAGGCTGGCCAGACCGTGACTTGCTTCCTGAAGAAGGTGAGTAGTGCAGCCTCTGCCTTGACAAGAAGAAGCTGGAGACGAGGGCCATTAGCGCCAGGCTTCGGTTCTGGGTTGGTTCCCGTGCTGGTCTGTGGGGGACAATGTAAGGCCTCGCTCCCAGAAAACTTTCTGGTCTGATCGAGGAGCTACATTTACAGCTTGCGAATAGCTAACAAGCAACTTACAGTTCAACATGTTTATAGGTTAATTGTGCAAGATGTAAAGAAAAATACATCATAAGGCAACATTTAAAATAAACACAGTATTGGATTTTAGACTCTTTCCTTCCACAAAGTTCAGAGGTGGTGCAAAATGATACTGGGTGCCAGATTGTGGGTCCTGACCCCAGGTGGGACCGGAGTTCCAAAAAGGGAAGAGATCAGTGAGAATTGTACTGGTTGGGGTATATTGGAGAGGAAGCACGACTGGGCTTGACCTTGGGGAATACTCCTTCATTGTTGCCAGATTCTTCTTCCATCGCATCTCTCTGAGTGTCCCACTGGTGCTTGATCCCTTTATCCGCCTGTGTCTGTAGATGTTCATGAAGCCTCCCGAAGCCCGGATGCCTTAGAATGGCGTTGAAGGCTCTTCCCAATCCGACCCCCCGAATCTGGTGTACCAGTCAGGCTGAAAGCCTCCCCTGTCTTTTTCCTTTTGTCTTTAGTTCTATACCTGGAGTGCCCTCTACTCCTGTTGCCTACAGTCCCTCGGGGTCCAGCACGTGTAACCCTCCCATATTACGAATTCTGCATATTCCCGTAGCGTATTGCCCTTCCTCTATGTTGCTTGCTGCTCTAGTTATTTGCATGCTCACCTATTCATGTGACCATCTTCCTGTCAGCTGGGTCTGGCTTTTCTTTGTCACTGTCATGCCATGTGCATCACGGCTGCTTGATAGATGTTTTGTTAAATTGACTTGAAAATTAGGGTATATGTTTAGTGTAAATAGTGAAGGATCAAAGTCTAAATTGATGTAGAAATAAGACATTGGTCCCTGCAGCTTGTTGGCAGTCCTGGGCACAGCTCAGCTTGGTGGAGGCTGCAGGGGTCAAGGGGGCGGGTCCTGCTGCTCGAGAGCCACTCCAAGGTCTTTCTAGCCTCCCCGTTAGCTGAGCACCAGGAGGGATGTGTGTCCTGCTGGGCTGGCCAGGGCTCTGAGCTAGACTGTGAGCAAGGCCTGTGAGAAGTGGAGGTTGGGCAGGACGGTGGGATCTAGGGGTGGATTCCTGTCCCTTGGGAAAATGTGGAATTGGGACCATCCCAGCAATTTTAGGAGAGTCTGTATTTTAATTAAGGGGAAAGAAGACACGCTGGAATCTGTCTCATTCTACATCTCCTCCGTTTTTTTCCTCCTCAGTACAATGTGGTTAAGAAATGGCTGGAGGTGGAGATTGCTCCAGACATCCGGGGAAGAATTCCCTTGTTGCTCACTTCTCTTAGCTTCAAGGTCAGTATGTGTGAGATGCTGGAGGGAAAGACCAGTCCCCGCAGCCCAGCTCAGTGTCTGCTGTGTGTCCACTGTGGTGCAAGGAACTGTGCACCTACTCAAGGGTTGGTTTGGGAGATACTCGCTGTGGAGACTTAAATGCCGTGTGGTTTGGGTAAATGATAGATCTTTCTTCAAACATCTGAGGAGTTTCCTTGTCCCTCCAGGTTCTGAAACATCCTGATAAGAAGTTTCGGATTGGCCAGGCCCTGAAGGCCACCGTGGTGGGCCCTGATTCCTCCAAGGCCTTCTTGTGTCTCTCGCTCATAGGTGTGGTAATGAAATGGTACCTGGTTCAGAAGGGAGGGGGTCAGATGGAGTGGGAAGGGGTCTCTAGCTACTGCCCAGGCTGAAGGATGCCTTTGGTGTTAGAGTCCTCAGAAAGCCTAATGTGCATGGCACCTTCTTGGAACTGTTCTTCTTTTGGAGCTCTGCTCTCTGGCCTGTGTTACTGCACTACATTGACATAGTTAGCTTTCCTCGACCTCAGCAAGGGCTGTCTACCCCATGGCCCTGGGATTTTTGACTACGTGGCAGGGTGACCTTGGTCTTCGTGGTCATCCTGGTCCCTTCAGCCTAGGAACCCAGGTCTGGGCAGCCTCTTCCCTGAATCAGGTTCCTTCTCCTCCCAGGTCCTCACAAGCTTGAAGAGGGGGAGGTGGCCATGGGCCGAGTGGTGAAGGTGACTCCCAACGAGGGGCTGACCGTCTCCTTCCCCTTTGGGAGGACCGGCAGCGTCAGTCTGTTTCACGTGAGTGACTCCTACTCAGAGACGCCCCTGGAAGACTTCACCCCCCAGAAGATTGTCAGGTAGGCTCTGGTTTCTTCCTCTTTTCAGCTAGTTGTGGGGCTGTGGTTTTTTGTTTCTTTGCTTGGTTTTGTTTTTTATTTTAATGATAGAGGTAAAATGCAATTATGTAGCAGAAAAAAATAGTTATATAGAAAATGAAAACTTCTTTGGCTCCCTTTTTCTCTAAAACTTTTCAGAATTATACACTTTGGCTTCTATCATTCAAGACTTTAACACATATATAAGTATAATTTTCCTTTATGTTATATCATATAATATACTCTTCTGTAACTTGCTTTTTTCTCATAGCAGCTTATCATGGATTTTTTTCATTTCGCACGCCAGTCTATCTCAATTAACCTTATTCTTTCACCTTATTCTTAACTCTTTTTTAGTATTCTGTTAATGTAGCTTTTAATCATAATTTATTTAAACATTTTTTTGCTGATAGACAATAATGTATCTTTGCACATATGTTTCAGTGCTGGTGTAAAATAAATCCCTAAAAGTACTTTTTGCCAAAGCGACCTTCAGAAGGACTGTACTGACTTGCGTCCCCATTGACACCAGGCGTGACTGGCCATTTCTCACACCCCTGTCAACAGCGGGGTATTCTTAGTTTTCGATCCTAGCTGCTGAATAGGCGAAACTTGATCTCCCATTTTAACATGCACTTCTCATGTTTGCGTGCTAAACCTTTTTCCTGTTTATTGGCTGTTTACATTAGTTCTGTACTTTGCTTGGCCAGGTTGCTTGCACATTTTTATACAGAAACATTCATTCTTTTAATTTAAAAAATGACTGATTTGTAGGTACTCTCTAAAAAAGGATAGTAACCATTTGCAGCTGAGGGGGGATTTATTTATGAACCTCTTAGATGCGCAGAAATGAGCCTGCCTCATAGTTTCAAAACCATTGTATAGCCTGAATAAACTAGCGTTGAAGAGGCAGATTTCAGCTTGAGACGATGAAGACGTTCTGAGAATCAGAGCAAGCTAACAACAGGGCAGGTGCCTCAGGAGGCGGAGACAGGAAAGCAGTAGTTCACCCTTTCCCACCCAGTGTCCTGGCCACCGGCACCTGCCCGAGTTCTCAGCCGCTGACCAGAGCTACCCGCGCAGAGGTATGAGGGCCTGTGCAAAGCACACAGGGGTTAGAGAGACACCCAGGGTCACTTCTGCTTTTTGTCTCTTGTGGCTTACAGATACAGGTGTGAGTTTTAGCAAAATATTTTTTAAAATTTATTTATAGCCAAACCTAAATAGATTTATTTAGTAGCATTCAGGTATGATTCCTTCATCTGTCAAACATGGATAATAAAATAATTACTTCAAGGTAGACGATCTTGCGAGATCTTTTTCTGCTTCAGGATATGATGCTGTGTTACAAAAGGCAGACACCTGTTGTGAGGAAAATTTGGACTCTACCGTTTCTGAGTCCAAATTCTAGTGCTAAATTCTATACTTTGTGACTCTGGGCTACTAATTGCCACTTTGGATGAAATATGTTTGGAAACGCAACCAAAGAGTAAACCCTGCATACTTTCTGGCAGCCTCCCTAGCTAGCTCAGACCTCAGTGCTCGGCTGCCTTGAGTCTGCAAGTGTACCCGGTTGTCCCCTGGTCATGGTTCCCTGTGGTCACTGCCTCTCCCCTGAGATCACACACTCCCAGGACCTGATACAGGGCTGGTTGGTCTTGTCTCCTGCATACTCGCTACATGACTCCGTCTGCCTGGGCTCTCGTGTCCCCTCCTTTAATCTCTCCTGGCACCTTCTTGGGTAAGAAGAGGAGGTAGTGTTATTTTTTCCTGGCAGACTGGTCATCTCAGGCTCACAGAAGTGACAGGACTTGTCCATAGTCCCTCAGCAGGTTTTCAGCAGAAAGAAGAACGGAGCCCAGGTTTCACGTCTCCTCCCTCTAGCCCACTGGTCAGCCTCGCAGAGAGGAAGCTGAGGCCCTTTGCTGCCCTGAGATGCTGAAATGTCAGTATTTCCTTCTCTTTTGCTCTCGTTCCAGGTGTTACGTCCTGTCGACTGCAGACGAAGTATTGACTTTGTCACTGCGATCGTCTAGGTGGGCATCTGCATTATTGGGACAAGAGCAGGAAAACCCACTTAGGGGACAGAGGAGAGGCCACACGGATCTGATCATAGTCTTTGGGCTTCCCTCCTGTCTCCTCTGCTCGTCCGCCTTGTACCTTACCCTGTTTTCCTTGGGAATAGCTGAGGACATTCAGATTGCTAGCAGAACCTGTCTGCTAGGCTCTTGTTTCCCAGGGAAAGGTGCAGACAACCAAGTGTGGGTATTCAGGCTGCCAGGTGCTGGGCTGGCCAGGGGAGAGGATTTAGCCCCCAGGGTTCCGTGTCCAGAGTGAGCGTGCCTTGCGGAGGGCTGGCCTGAGGTCAGCTCGTTTCTTGGTTACAAGTGGATGCTGATACGGCCAGGGCTTTGGGTTTGACGCTTGGTCAGCCTCTCCCTGCTTCTGCAAAGCCAGCTCACAGACATGTCCCCAGCCAATGGGACTTCAGGAGAGAGTAGAGCCTCACTCTGTAGCAACAGTTTTCAACCGGTGTGCTGCAAGAATTTTTAAAACATGCAATACTCAACTATTTAATCAGGGGCACTGTCCTCTTTTCCCTTAGACTGACAAATAAAAAAATGACAGCAGCTAACACAATAGCTGTCTGGTATGAAAGAATCAAAATTATACCTATTTTTTTGTCAGAATGGCAAAAAGTATATTTTTGGTGTACCTCAGACTTTTAATGGTTTATGTGTGTCATGAGGTGAAAAGGGTTGAAAATCACAGCTCTATCTTGCTGGCAGGTCCAGAGTCGTATTCCTGCATGTGAGGTCTGCATCCCAGGTCTGTCTCGGGGAGGACGGGGATTAGGGTATGAGTACGAGAGCCTTTTCTTCCTTTAGGACAAACCCAGAGACGAAAAGCAAAATAACAGACCCCGAGATTAACTCCATCCGGGACGTTCAGGAAGGGCAGCTCCTAAGGGGCTTTGTGAAGTCCGTCCAGCCGCACGGTGTGCACTTCGGGTGAGTGACGTGGGGCCTGGGAGCCCGGGCCAGACCGCAGCCCCCCTTGGCCTGCCCTGGTCTGCGGTCGTCTCTGAAGGGGACGCTGAGGAAGGAGGAGTCTACGAGTTTCCACCAGTTCTTAAAATTCTAGGTCGTTTTTACTTTAAAAAACGTTTTGAATTATTCTTATTTGGTGTGTTGGACAAAGAATATGGCGTGTCCATTTTCAGTTTTAAATACATTGGGATATCTGCTTTAGTTCAGTGTTTGATCATGACTTGTAAGTGTTCTGCGAAGTCACACAGCGTGCACAGCCACCGGATAGTGCGGTCTTCTCCGCCGTTGCCTCTCCTCGTTTTCTGCTCGTCTGGACCAGCAGCTCCTGAGTCACATGCCCTGCTGCTCTGGTTGGGGTGGAAAGCGCCCTTCAGCTGCATTGTCTCTGTGCTTGATGGTTCTTCCCAGTTTACAAAGCAAGCTCTCTTCAGTCTTTCCTTTTTTTAGATTTATTTTTTTAATTGATTTTATAATTGAAGGGGGGAAGAGAGAGAGAGAGATTTGTTGTTCTATTTATTTATGAATTCATTGTTTGATTTTTAAAAAATTATTTATTTATTTATCTTTAGAGGGGAAGGGAAGGAGAGAGGGAGAGAAACATCAATGTATGGTTGCCTCTTGTGCATTCCCTGCTGGGAACTGGCCTGCAACCCAGGCATGTGCCCTGACCGGGAATCGAACCTCGATCCTTTGGTTCACAGGCCCACGCTCAATCCACTGAGCTACACTATCCCATCCAGGGCCTTCATTGGTTGATTCTTATTATGTGCTCTGATGGTCATTGAACCCGTAACCTTAGGGTGATGCTCTAACCAACTAAACCACCCGGCCAGTGCCTCACTTTATCCGTTTAAATGCCAAGAACTTATGTCTGTCATAAATCTAGGGCACAGCTTGGGTCCCTGGGGAAATAGAGGCCTGGGCCTGGCTGGAGCTGTGTTGCATTCGTGACCACAGACCCTCGTCTCTCTTCCGTCAGCCTTGGCCCCTCCGTTGTGGGTTTGGCCCGGTACCCACATGTCTCCGAGTGCAGCCCGTCCAAGAAAGCCCTTTATACCAGACACCTCCCCGAGGGGAAACTGCTCACAGCCAAGGTCCTAAGGTAGGTGCTGCCCCACCCCGCCCCCCTTCACTCCTTTCTCTGTAAGCCCTGGGAGGAGATTTAAAGGTCAACTGACCCTAAGAATGGCTTGGGTAGTGGTGGGTGCAACTGTTCTGATGAGCAAAGCCCCTTTGTAACCTTCTACCTCAGTTCTTGAAAGTTGTGGAGAAATTTCTCTGCATAGGCACCTGTTGTTGGGGACAAAGTAGGGGACCGTCATAGCCGCGCCCTGTATTTCACCACTAAGCCTTGGGAATGTGCAGCTCGTGCATTCTCAGGCACGCCGAATGGACTCCAAGTGGGTGGGGCAGGGCCCGGAAGACCGGGCCGGGGAAGAGAGGAAGGCCTGGGGCTGCTGCTTGTGCCCGTGGGACCCTTCTGTCATCTTCCTCATCCATCTTCCCTCCCTTCCTGTTGCAGGGTGAACCACCAGAAGAACCTGGTAGAGCTTTCGTTCCTCCCCAGTGACACGGGGAAGCAGGACGTGTTGACTGCCCCCCTAGGACAGCCACTGCCAAAGCAAGGGGAGAGGCAAGGAGAGGCAGAGGAGAGACACCACAGAGAGGAGGGAGAGAAGGAGAGGAAGAAGAAGAACCAGGAGAGGAAAGAGAAGAGGGAGCAGAAGGGGCAGGCGGAGGCACAGATGCCCAGCAAAGAGAAGAAAGAGCCTCAGCAGCCACGAGCAAAGAAGCAAGGCAAGCGGCCGCGCCCGGATTCCAGAAGCAAGCAGGTGTGTCCTCAGGGGGGATGGCCTCCCCTGCTACAGGTGTGTCCTAAGGGGCAGGGCCTCCCCTGCTATGGAAAGGAGAGCGATTCAGAAGCCAGCCGGGCAGCTGCCCTGCCTTCTCTTGAACTGAGAACGGTGTGAGTTTGGTGGCTGGACACAGGGTGGTGCCAGGGGAGACAGAAGGGGAGGCATTGCCTGGGCTGCCCAAGGGTGCTCTTGGACAAGAAGTGTGGCTCAGCATTTTCCCACCTGTCGTATCTCAGGAAGGGGTAAACAAGAAGCAAAAGAAAGCCGCTCCATCCGAAGAGGACGACAGTGGTGTTGAAGTGTATTACCGGGAAGGAGAAGAAGAGATCGAAGAGAGGAGTGTGCTGCCCAAGGTGAGGGGTGGCATTGAACGTGGGCATGCGGGAGCCGCTCTGGAGCAGGCAGTCCTGGACTCCTGCCTAAGCTCTCTAGCACCGTCCTCTTTCTTGATTTCTGTAAGCTAGGAAAAGATGGGGCTGCTGGTTTCTTCCATTGTCCATGAGCTCCCTGAGGACAGGGACCCTGTCCTACCCCTAGAGTGGGTTGCATAAAATAAATTGTGATCAGATTAAGTTCTGATTAATGGAGTGAAACAGAATTAAATTAGTGGGGTGGGTAGGTAAAGAGGAGGCTTGGCGCTGCTGAGCCTGAGTGCCCCTGTGCAGAGTCAGAACAGTGCTGGGTGAACTGGGGACTCGGGTGAGGGCTTCCCAGACTCGGGCATCGCGTTCCTTCCACCTCAGAACATGTGTCGTGTCTCCATCCCAGCCTGCCTGTCACTTTATATAGTGTGTGTTAGTGTGTATACACACACAAATGCATACAAGCCTTTTTAAAATGTGTTCCTAAATGCATTTATTTACAAAGAAAGTGTTTTTGTCACGACTGTAAATTTCCTGGGTGGGCCGGGGCCTCGCCTGGCCTCGGGAGGTGGGGAAGCTCTCTGAGCATGGCGGGGGTCCCTGTTCCTCCTGGTGGGTGGGGTGGGGAAGAGGGAGCCGCCTGAGCTGAGTGCTTTCCTCACACGCCTCCGTGACCCTCTAGGAAAAGCAGACCAGACCAGCAGAACTGCCCCGGCTGCAGCTGTCTGCTGGCTTCGTCTGGGACGTGGGGCTGGACTCTCTGACCCCAGCCTTGCCGCCTCGAGGAGAGAGCTCAGACAGCGAGGAGGATGAGAAGCCACAGCCAGCCACGGTGTCGTATTTTCCAGGGCTTTGTCCTTTCTGCAGGGACCTCTTGGTGCCAGTCTCCTGTGCTTTGTCTGGCCTGTGGGTGTCTCTTCCGGCGGGTGGGGCATTCTCAGGCCAAGGAGTATTTATAGAGCTTGTGGACTGACCTGCCAACTGTTGGCTTCTATCACAGACCTTCCCAGGGTCTGAGGAGCTGACTACTCACTTCTTTTTGCCTTTCATAGAAGAAGAAAAGCAAGAAGGAAAGGGAGCTGGAAAAGCAGAAGGCGGAGAAAGAGCTGTCCCGCCTTGAGGAGGCGCTGATGGATCCCGGGCGACAGCCAGAGTCAGCAGACGATTTTGACCGGCTGGTGCTGAGCTCCCCCAACAGCTCCATCCTGTGGCTGCAGTACATGGCCTTCCACCTGCAGGCCACAGAGATCGAGATGGCCCGGGCCGTGGCCGAGAGGGCTCTCAAGACCATCTCCTTCAGGTCTGGGTTTTGTCCCCCACCCTCTTTAGGGTGGGGCCCTGTGACAGGCAGGGCCATACCTCCCCAGGTTGCAGGGCTTGCCACCTGCGGTCATTTTCTCCTCGGCAGGCTGACAGCAGTTGGGGTGGCTGCCACCGGGGCTCCCATGGGCTCCCAGTCTCTCGTAGATAATGCCATCTGTGAAAGAGATCTGCTCATTTATATTTTATAGTTCTCGTCACTGAAACGGCTAAGGGTCACATTTACAAGAGTCCCTAACTTGGACATAGGTCCTGACAAGTAGAATAGGGAACACAGCTTCCCACATACCTGGGGGGAACCCTGCAGGTGGCCATTTTCCAGGCAGAGAGTAGAATGAGTTTCCTGAAAGCTACTGAAGAGGAATGGAGATCCTTTACTTCATTCTCTTAGTTTGGGGAGAGAATCAGACCAGAGATCCTGCTCCTTCCAGCTCATATCTCAGGCCACTTTCAGATTCGGTAGGCTTCCTCCCCGGGGAATGGAGGTGGAGCCAGGTGGAGCCCCGGTCTGGAGACCTGGCAGTCAGTGGGTTGGGGCCCTCGCTGCTGTGTGAACCGCACCGGACAGGGCCTCTCGGTGCCTGCACTTGAGGGTGGGAACTGAGGGTGTGGATGGAGCCTGGAGAGGAGGATGGAGTTCCCATCGACACATCCGGAGTGGAGCAAGGGGCCCTTTGGGCTGAGATGGTGGAGCTCATGGACTGACTGCTCTCCCTCCAGAGAGGAGCAGGAGAAGCTGAACGTGTGGGTGGCCCTGCTGAACCTAGAAAACATGTACGGCTCTCAGGAGTCACTGACCAAGGTCTTCGAGCGGGCTGTCCAATACAATGAGCCTCTCAAGGTCTTTCTCCAGCTGGCTGACATCTACACCAAGTCAGAGAAGTTCCAGGTAGGAGTCTGGGCCAGCTGGCCTGTGGCTGGAGCATCCCCTGCCCTCAGAAACTGACTCCGGGGGGTCACGGGAAGCAGGGAAGACTCCCCACGTTCTGGGTCCAGTTCTAGTCTCGGGACCCCCGTGTGGGCACAGAATCAGCGGGGAGCCACCCATCGGGCTGGGCCTCTGCGTCTCTGTGAGCTCACCCTCCCCCTGCAGTAGCTGGAGTCGGGTCTGCATCGCGATGGGAGCCTGTGAGCCCGAGTCTGCCTTCTCACGGGTGGAGCTGTTGCCCCCTTGTCACACCACACATTCCTCGGCCCGCCGTGGCTTTCCCACAGGAAGCTGGGGAGCTCTACAACCGGATGCTGAAGCGTTTCCGGCAGGAGAAAGCTGTCTGGGTCAAATATGGCGCCTTCCTTCTGCGGAGGGGCCAGGCCGGGGCCAGTCACCGGACGATGCAGCGAGCCCTCGAGTGCCTGCCTCAAAAAGAGCGTGAGTGCCGCGTCCCACCGCTGGGCTCGGTCCCCGAGGACACCCAGCTCTCCTATCTGGGCACAGGGATTGCCGGTCCCCTCATCTGCAGGTGGTGGTGGGCAGCCCTGTCGAGGTCATGTAGCTGCCTGTGTTTCTGTGACTATATGCTTATGAACAATGCATGATGCATTTCAAGGGCTGAACTCTGAAGACGGAGGAATAAAAAGCTGTCAGCATTCATTCTGTTGCCCCCTTGCCCAGAGTAAGCTGTGCGCAGTGGGAGCCGTAGATCAGTGCCCATCTGTGCGTTTGGCTCAGAATCTGCCTCACTGCCCCTCTTGTCGTTGCCTGTGCCTTGGGACAGGAGAGCAGGGAGTCAGGAGCCGGACTCAGTCCCTGTAGCACATTGTGTTGTGGTGGAGGGGGTCCGTCTGCTTTGTGGCCCTGAGCTGTCCTCTCCCCGCAGACGTGGATGTGATCTCCAAGTTCGCCCAGCTTGAGTTCCAGCTGGGCGATGCGGAGCGGGCCAAAGCCATTTTCGAGAACACACTGAGCACCTACCCAAAGCGCACAGATGTCTGGTCGGTCTACATCGACATGACCATCAAGCATGGCAGCCAGAAGGAAGTCCGGTGAGAGGGGCAGACAGACTGGGGATGAATTCCCTGTGGGGGGCTGGGGACAGTGGCCAAGCAGGTGACTTTTAGCAGCCACAGCAGCTCCCAGCATCCCCATTTGTCTTACTGCATCTGGAGAAACAGCTTTGACGGGACACGTCAGGGCCTGTGGCATTCACTTTTCCATCTTCTGTTCCTGCCCCGGGCCAGCCTCTGGTCAGTGTCTGGAGCCTGGCTGCTGGCCTGGGGGCAGGCGTCTTGGGTTTCCCTCATAACTGACCCTGTGCCTGGCTCCGACTGTAGAGGACGTTCACAGGCACACTGTCACCGTCCTCCGCCAGCATCCCCACAGGCAGGGAGGGTGCCTCCAGAATTGAGCGGCCACGCAGAGGTGAGCCGGCTGCGGTCCAGAAAGTGCCTCACCCAGGCCCATCAGTGAGTTTCGAAGTGAGCTCTTCTCACAGGTGCACACCTCATGTGTGCCCCATCCCAGCAGCTTTGTCCCGATTCCCCATGTGCCTTCAGGCCAGTGGGTCCTTCAGCATCGCTGGGTGTCTGTGCGCCCACCTGGAAGTACGGGTGGTGGTGTCCCTCCCACACTGGGCATGATAGACGTCCACAGTGGTGGTAAAAATGAAGGTGTACGTGGGGATGCTGGATGGAAGGGGGCCTGCTCCGGAGCCTGCGAGCAAGTGGGGAAGGTTAGCCAGGATCGTGTGGTGGGGGACCAAGAGGCAAATGCGGCCCTGCTCTTCCTCACAGGGACATCTTTGAGCGGGTCATTCACCTGAGTCTGGCCCCCAAGCGAATGAAATTCTTCTTCAAGCGCTACCTGGACTACGAGAAGCAGCACGGCACTGCGAAGGACGTGCAGGCAGTGAAGGCCAAGGCCCTGGACTATGTGGAGGCCAAGAGCTCCGTGCTGGAGGGCTAGCGGCAGGCTGGCTCGGATGGCCACGGTCCATGGCGCGCCAGCCTGGCCGAGCCTCGCGCTCCCAGCAGTTGAAAACCATGTTGCCCGAGGACTGTGTTTAAGGGCTGTGTTGCCTGCAGCCTCCTTGGGGTAATCCTGTTAGGATAAAAAGGCATTCGAGATTCCTTATAAATTGCTCTTTGTTATTTTGTTCAAAGTAGTGATTTCATCTTTTTTCTTATCTGAGACGGCTCAGTTGTGCAGGCTCAAGGAGAGCTGAGGGTTTCTCCTTCATGGGTGTTCCTGGGAAACAAGCAAAGTAGGGGAGGGGGCTGACTGCCCACGATCTCTGGTCCAGGTCCCCCTTTGGTCCTGGCAGGCTCTTGGACCGGTAAGAGGGCAGGCGTCAGTCAGCAGGGCCCAGGGAGCAGGCCTGCCCCGTTGGGTCTCGGGGTCTCTCAGCGTTCTTTCAGCTTCAGCTTGGCTCAGCCTTTGTGGAGGCCATGAGCTGGGACAGAAGGACACAGGCACAGCCCAGAAAGAATATTGGGGAACTTGGCACCTGAGAGGAAGGCCACCCGATAATGATGTCTTCTCTCCGCCCACCAGCGCCAGATGACCCAACCTCCCCAAATTGGCACTTCACATGTGACATGGGGTGAAAACTGTCCTACCTGGAAGGGTTTTGTGGTGAAATGAGAGTGTGTAAGTTGCGTGCCGCGTGGCAGCTCAGAGGCTCAGTGAGGACCTGGACGGGTGTGCTGTGTGGCTCTGGGGGGAGCCCCGCGTTTCTCTGTGTCCCTCCTGGCTCCTCTGGGGAGAGGCGGCTGGGCAGAGGGCACTGACTGACTGGATGGTGATTCCTTGAGTCCGGAGGGAAAGGAGACAACACGCCGCCACACCCACACCTCCCTCGAGAAATTCCCAGAAGGTCTCTCTGCATCATTTGGTAAGTCGCAATCCTGTATGTTCCAGAGTTCTTAGAGGCCAGTGCAGACCCAACTACTTGTGGCAGCCAGTACTTTTTTGGCTTAGTCTTAAGAGAATTAAAAAATGTTCTCTGGCAGAGTTTAAGTGTTCTTGAGAGCTAGACAGCTTTTCCATGGTCATGACTGAGTCATGTGCCAGGAAGCAGGACTGGGACAGGGAAGGGCATGGAAGGTTTTGGAAGTGGTGAGGTGGTCAGGCAGGGGCGGGCATGGGAGGGAGAAGCCAAGGCTGGCCTGGTTCTTGGTTATTAGCACTAGGTTGCGAGAACTAGCTTCCTTACTGAGTGCAGGATCTTCTGGCTCAAGGAATTTAAGTTGAGCTTCCCTGTAAGAGTGGCCAGGCTCCCTCTGTTCCCTCAGCCAATCAGATAATAACTGAATCCAGTTGCTAAGAGAGCATCAGCCTCCCTGCTCCCCTGCCTGCTCTCCTGTCTACTTTAGTCCTGCCCGGGGTCTCTGTCCCCTTCCCTCCAACAGGAGATGGGGTTTTTAAAAAATTCTCACCAGAGAATATTTTTTTCATTGTTTTTAGAGAGGGGGGAAGGGAGAAACATTGATGAGAGAGAGAAGCATCAATTAGTTGCCTCCCATATGCGCTCAGACCAGGGATCGTACACACCCGTGCCCTGACTAGGAACTGAACTCGCAACCTTTCGGTTATGGGTCAACGCTCCAGCCCACCAAGCCACACTGGCCAGGGCAGGAGATGGGATTTAGACCTGTCCCCACGACCACCTGTCTGCTGTGGCATGGCCCATCCCATTATGCACACACCGAGCTAGTTCTTTCTACTCAGAAGACCTTTATCAAAAATGTAAACATATAAAATAAAGCCAGTAGCGTGTATTGAATTCAGGGCAGCTTTCCAGCTGAGCACCACTGAGCTGGGTGTCCTGTGGGGTTAGACACAAGTCAGTTGCATGACATCCTACACAGTGAGCCTCCTGGTGACTTTCATTGTCACCTAGCTCTGCTGGCCAGGGCTTCCCAGGCTTGGAGCCCCACCAGGAAAAGGGCATCCATGCCACAGTCCAGAGAAAGGGTCTTTCCTGCAAAGCTGTTGGCCCAGTGGCTGGTGTCAGTAGGAGAGGGGATTCCTTCGGGTCTGAGGGCCTTCCTGTCAGCACTGACCACACTGTGTACTAGCGCTGTCCTGTCACCAGATCACTTTGTTTCTTTCTCTTGGCCTATTTTCCCAAAAAGTTGTAGTTAAAAAGAAAATGTTCTGTTGCTGCTGTGAGCAGGCGGGGTGCAGTGTTGGACTGAGGACAGTCACTTGCAGAGGCTGGGAACAGGGCCCTTAGGAGACGAGCAGGGCCATCTCCATGTTGTCTGGGGCTGTGCCGTTGCCTGGCAGACCCTGGGCCCACTTGTGCAGGCGGCTGTAGAGCGGGAGGCCCTGGTTCTCGCGGTACAGATAGACGCCGGTGATGGCGTTCCACTGCGGCCTCGGCTGTGTGCCTTCCACCGGGAACTTGGCCGTCAGCTCCTCGTCTTCCTTGCTGAGCGCCACGAAGCCGAAGAAGCGGCGCACGTTGTTGGCAGCCAGCACCCTGGCGTGCACCTCAGCCGTGCGCTGGAAGAGCTGGTCCTCGTTGTTGCGGTACTGCTCCCAGTAGGCCTCCTGGCGGTAGCTGAGCGGTGAGCAGTAGTGCTTGAGGCACTTGGTCAGGAACACCAGGATGGCCACCACGCCGATGAGCAGCCACCCAAAGAGCTGGCCAGAGAAGGGGCAGGGTTGAGGAGGGGCAGGTGGCTGCCTGGACCCCCACCCACCCAGGATGAAGTAGAGGGTGGGCTGGGCTGAGCCTGGACCTTAGAACTGGCTGACCATTCTGATTCTGCTTCTGGAAGGGAAGCAGGCCCTTCTGGCTGTATTCTCACAGGTTTTTTCTCACTTGAACTCACACTTTCTCTGTTCTTAGACTTTGCCTCCCACATTTTCTGCAATTTCTTTAGCCGCAGCCCTCCCATCCCCTCTTCACGTCATCTCGCCATGTGGAAATCCAGCTCATACTGCCTAGCTCAGCCCAGATGCCACCGCCAGGAAGCAATCCTGCCTTCCCTGAGTCCCCGATGGCCTGGTCCTGCGTCACCACTCTGCCTATGTGTTTGTCTCAACACTCGCTGGGGTGTGAGTCTGTGGCAGGCTAGGGCAGTTGGGGTCATCTTCGTTTCCCACTCGTCTTGTGCAGACATCTGCGGCTCTTAATCATCAAATTTTATTTCCATGTCTTTCATCTCCTTTGGTGCTGCCTCCAGCCCTGCTTCTCTCTTCGTGTTCCTCACGGACCCGACAGGAGACCTTTCCAAAAGTCTTGTGCTCCTCCCTGTCTCTCCCTCGCCCCCCGCCTCTCTAAGTTAATGCTTCCAGCTCAGCTTTCCTGTTTCTGCCCACATCTCTGCCCTTGGCCTTCTCTCCCCCAACCAGCCTTCACTCCCTCAGAACCAAGCCAAGGCTGGGGCTGGGATCAGGGCAGCAGCTGCTGTCTCCTGATGACACCTCTTCCTGGCTCAAAGGACCCCCCTTATGTCAGCAGGGCCTGAGGCTGATTCACTGCTGGCCGGGGATCCTTCCTGGAATAGGAACATGCTCATCTCTGAAGCCAGATGCACCCCCGTCAACTCACGGTCCATAGCAAACGTTTCCTAGGTTCACAGGGTTTTGTTTGTGCTCATTCTGGCTGGAGTAATGGGCTTAAGGCTCAGCCTGAGCCAGAAGAATATTCCTTTAATGTTTAAAACTCTCACTTGGAGCTGGAATTGTCCCTTGTCCTATAAGGCACTAACCCACAAGTTAGTTACACAGCTCTGATGCCTGACGCTGCCAATCTAGTGCTTTCCTGGAGACCTTGGCCCCTGGAGGCATCTAGCACCTTCCCTCCAGTCACACTAGGAGAGAGAAGAGCTTCCCTTTGCACAGCCTTACCTGGGACTCATACTTGAGCCTGCGACTGACCTCTTCCCGAAAGACTGACAGGTTGGCGGGGCCCTCCCCGCAAGGGAACCTGGCCAGGATTTCTGTGGCGTGGGCTGGTGGGAAGCCTTCTCCACCCGTGAGTGAGGAGGGGTCCACAAACTCACTGAGAGCACAAACGTAGGCCTCGCCTCGCAGCAGGGAGATGACAGACCAGGTGACCGGGGCCACAGCCGCGCGGCCCAGGATGGAACTTAGAAGGAGGAAGTTGGCGGCAGCCGAGCAGTTCTTGGTTCTCCGGTACTGGCACTCGGTAACTAAGTTCCACGTGTGGTTGTTGAGGATGACGCCAATGAGGAAGAGCGCGAGGGCAGGCACACCAATGGCCGTCAACCCGTACAGGTAGTTCCTGGCTGGCGAGCAGGGGCAGTGGAAAGCCACCACAGAGAACAGCTCCTGGCTGCCCACTGTGCCCAGTGCCACCAGCCCATTGAAAATCATCACGTCCTTGCTCTTGAAGAAGAGCGATAGAAAGCGGAAGTTCTCGGCGATCAGGGCTGCCATGCTGAGGGGTCAGCGGGGGGGACCAACCGCAGGGGTGGGCACAGGTTACTGCTCGATGGTGCCTGGTGAGGCTAGCGAGGAGTGCAGGCAGGCAGGCACCAGAGGGCAGGGCACGGTCTGGCCATCGTATCACCTGGAGCGGCCGGCCTGGTGCTCCCTGGGGGACAGGAGATCACTGAGAAATGTTTGCCTCTGCAAGCAGAGAGGGCATCTCGTGTGGCCAGGCAGCTGAGGAAGAAAGGAGACTTGGGGAGCCCCGGGGGAATGATGATAACCACATTTCACCGGGCTCCTACTGTGTGTCAGGGGCTTTACAGCCCTTATTCCCCAGCCTCCTGATCCACAGTGAGCTGCGTACCCCCACAAGAGGTGGGGGCTCCCCAGGGTGCGTGGCTGAGAGTCAAGCTCAGGTCCGTCAGCCTCGGACACTTAGGTTCATGTTGCCCCCGCAGGACCCTCCAGGTGAGGTTAGGGATGACCCTGTGGCAGCGGGGATGTGGGACGTCGACCGGCTTTCTCTCTGGGATTCCAGGCCGTGCTGGTGTGCTGAGGAAGCCAGGACTGTGACCTCAAGGCTTCTAGCCCTAGGGGAGGAAGAAGGCGGAGATCCTGCTCCGCCACCTGCAGTTCGTAAGAACCTTTTCCTGCCAGAGATCTCAGGCTCTGGACTGGGTTGGGGGATCCTGACTCGCAGCATACGTCATGACTTTTCTCAGACCTCAGTGTCCTCACCTATGAAAAGGGCACAAATCATTCTGGCCTTTGCTCTCCTCTTAGGAATGCGGAGGGAAAAGAAAGGGAGTAAACAGTGCCTGATAATTGTCCTATATGTGACGTGGGACCCTTTGTCCCACTACTTCTCTCACCCTGTTGAGTCGTCAGGGTGACGACCAGAGGTGAGGGAGGGTGGCATGGTTTTCCTTCCTGCAGATATCAGGCAGCTGAGGCCTAGTGAGGTAACGTACCCTGCTTGGGGCCATTCAGATGTGCAGGTGCTTAGGCAAGACTCAATGACAACCTCAGGAGACCAGGAAAACGGGCCAGGTCGAGTCAAGCTAAGTGAGTTCACCATTGCTCTGTGCCCACTCGTGAGAGCCCTGGCGAACCTCTCCTTGCCCACCCATTACCCTCTTCCCTACCCAGCAGCCCTGTCCCACTCAGCAGTACTGGCAGCCTGCCAAAAAGTGGCTGAGGCCTGGGCCCAGCTCCTTTGAAGGCTCCACCCACACAAGCCAGAGACAGCCCAGGGCGTGGCCCCATGTGCCCTTCTCCCCATCCCTGGGTGAAAAACAAAAGTCCGCCGGGCCAGAGAAAGCCAGGGAGTAGGGGGAGGGGTGGGTAGCTAATGAAGATGAGGGGGCGTGCCCATATTCCCTACCATGCCTCCTCCCTGCACCACCACCCCTCCTGGTGTCCGCCTGGCTGTCCAACAGGCCCAGGCAGAGCTGGCTAACCACGTGGGGTATCAGGAGACGGAGGCAGAAGATGGATCTAAGTCTCCCCAACTCACAGCCAAGGGGCCCCAGCCTCACTCTCTGGAAAAGGGAGTTTGTAATATTGCTGGGCTTGAATGGGTTAAAAGAAGTCGCTTCTCCCCCTTCCTCTTCTGCTCTTGGCTTCAAGGTTCCTAATGAGTTCCCTCTGGGCGGCCCTGGGTTTATAAACTGCACTCAGTTGGGTACAAGATACCTGAACACTGGTAGGCAGAAGAGGGACCAGGCCAGCATCTGAGACCACCGGCCTTGCCCACGCGGCTGGGCGTGGGACCTCCAAGTCAGGACAGGAGACAGGCGGCTGGAGGAGGGGTAAGGCTAGCCCCTACCCTGGGGAGCCTCAGCTAGGGGCTTCTCTCCCTCTGGGAGGCCCTCCCATGCTCCCCTGTCCCCTGGCACACTCCAGGGAGGGGCCCTTCCTTACCGGGGGCAGGCGCAGGCACCAGTGGCTTTGGCCTTCTCCGGCAGGGCTCTCTCTCCGAGTGGCGAGTGGCGCTCAGACATCCGAGCTGGGGCGGGGCAGCTGTTCCACCTGACGTGCCCTTAGGTGACTGTGCCCTTCAAGGGCTCCCTCCCGTTTTTCCTCCTGCACAGGAGCAGGGCCGGTGGCGTCCTCAGAAAAGTTTGACTCCAGGAAAGAGGAGGAAACAGCGGGATGGAATTTGAACTCCAGCAAGTGGAAAACATCCCCCGCATCAGGCCGGGGAGGGCGGAGCAGCAGAGGGCGGCGCAGAGGAGAGGAAGTTGGGACGCCTGTTCAGCAGCCCTCCGACTGCCCCTGGCTCTGCCTGCCTTCCCCTGCAGAGGGGCTGTGCTCCACAGCCCCAGGACTGGTTGGGGGGCCAGGCATGGGGCCTTCGGGAGAGCTGGCCTGGGCCTGCCCTCCTGGACAATGTCAAGAGCAGTGCCCATGCTTGACAACCCACCCCTCCACCCAGATGAACAGAAACTGCTGGAACAAAACCTCAGCAGAGTTAGGGCGGAGCTGCCATCAGACTGAAGCTGACCCACTGCGGGATACACAGTCTAGTCCTTCCCCCACCCCCATCCCCACCCTTCTTCTGGCCCTTCTCCTTCAGCCACTGGCTAGACAAACCCTTGCCCACTTGGCATCTCCTGTCCAGTCTTCAGCTAACTCCTCAGGTACCGTTTCAATATCAGAGGACCTCTGTAATGATCAGTTACCCAGACTGTCCCAGAAAGTGGTTGTGAGCCCGCCCCCCACCATCTGTGGGAGTGGGTAAGCCCAGGCTGAAAAGTCAGGGGTTGGAAATTCTCAGGAGGGGAGTCCTGTGCAAGGACAGGCTGCGTGACTCCCAGGAGCAAAGGCACCCCCCCCCCCCGCCCCCGTCAAGCAGCGGAACTGCTGGGGGACGGGCTGGCCTCTCCGAGCTGGCCTTGCCCAGGTGCGGGAGTAAAGGGAAAGGGAACAGTGTTTATTTTTCAGATCCTACCTTGTGCCAAGGACGGTTCCAGATTCTCCTTCAAAAGTTATCTCCCGTTTTCCTCACGGTCTCCAGAAAAGCAGATCTTTTAACATCCATTTCACCGTAGACACGCTGAGGCGCGGAGGGACTCGGTGACTCTCCATGGGCCCTATTCCTCTCGTATCTGAACCCACATCTGCCCGACCCAAGCCTTACCCTTCCCGCTTTTCCTCCCCGATACCTCCTGGCTGGCCTTGTCCATCGGGAGCCCCTCCACCAGCTCACACCTGGTCTTCACTCATCTGAATCCTGCCCCTGCTCGGGGTCTAGATCACGTCCCACACCCCGGAGGAGCCCTGCGGCCCGGCTTGGCCTATAGGGATGGCCCTCCTCCCAAATAATTAAAGGGACAGAGACTGGGTTTCGGACGTGGGAATAGAGGGAAGGGTGCACAGGAACGAATGGAAATCATTAGAGCAATATCGTAGGAGTCAAGATTAAAATGAACTCTAAGATGAGTGGGCTTTCGTTTTAAAAACAGGTGAGGAGGCAGTCAGCGCATCTTGGCCCCGCTTCTTCCTCCTCAACACAGATGGTACCAGACCCGGATGTCCCCTCCTCTTACGTCCAGCGGGACGAGAAGGGTAAGCTCGCAGGTTCAGAAATCAACAAACATGTCATCCACACATACCGAGTGCCTACCACGTGCTGTGTCCTTTATACACTCCGTTCATTTAATGCCCAGGACAACCCCATGAGGTAGGTGCCCTCACCTCCATGGTACAGATGAGGAAACTGAGGCACAGAAATGAAGCACCCGGCCCAAGGGACACAATCTGTAAGTGCTAGCCAGAGCCAGCACCTAAGCCAGCTCGTGTCACTCTGGAGTCTTGAGCTGTTTCCATCCCAGGCAACTCCGCTTCCACTCCTCCACCCTCATCCCCACCTCAGGGCAGAGCCTCTGAGCACTCAGGAGAGCCCGGCCCAGGCGGTGGGGGCTTCGAGAGAATGGAAAGACTTCAGCTTCTGTTTCTAACCGCTCAGGCCCGGGGGGTGGTCTGATTTACCCTGGATGTGAGGGAGTCAGAGGGCCTTTCCCATGACGGGTTCTTTTGTCCTCTCCAAAATTCATCCGTTGACTCCTAACCCCCGGCAGGAGGGGCCTTGGTGGAACCCTCAGGAACGGGACTAGCGCTCTTATAAAAGAGGCTCCAGAGAGATCTCTGCCATCTTCTGCCACGTGAGGACAGTGAGAAGGCACTGGCCGAATCAGGACAAGACCGTGAACTTCACCAGAATGTGACCATGCCAGCACCATGGGCTTGGGGTTGCAGCCTCCAGAATGGAGAATCAGATGTCCTTTGTTCATAACCTACCTGACCTGTGACATTGTGTTATAGCAGCCCAAATGAGCTAAGACGGGAAGCCCTGTGTGCTTGGGGCTAATAAATGTGCAGGTCACCATGCCAACTCTTGAATGACCTCCATGGTGACCACATAACCTGGCTTCTCCCGAATGGACCTAGCTTCTGGCATCTCATTGGTCACAGCAGGTGAGGCTGCATGTCATGTCCTTTGGGCCCCCTTGGGCCACTTGGCCTCCCTCAGGAGCCTGGCGGAACCCTCAGAGGACTCCCATTTCAGGAGCTGGCTGGACGCGCCCTCACTCCCTGAGCTTTGAGTGTAAGGGACCAGAGACCGTAACACGTCATGGGCAAGTGCAGGTGCTGGGGCAAGGGCGACTGCAGGGCCGGAGTGGGGACTGTGAACCAGATAAAGTGGGCCGGCAGGGGTGGGGGACGTGGGAGCTTGTCCCCTCTGGGCCAATTTTGGACCTTTTGACTAATACTGCTCATGGCTCCACTGTCCACTTCCCCGGGGGCCACCCAAGGCAATGTGACAACTGGAGGTGTAAGGTCCTCTTCCAGTCCAAATTTCCAGCCCCATGTGTGCAGGTGAATATCTCTTCCAGGGGCCTATCACCCACACCTGTAGCCTTCATTTTTCTGTCTGGTTTGGGGGTCTGAAGGGCTGTGGATTCAGACCCCCCCCATTCCTGCCCCATTCCTGCCTCTTCACCTGCCCACAGCTCACACTTTGCTGAAGTAGGTGGCCACCTCCTTGCGTGGAGGCCGAGGCTCGCCCCCAGCCCAGCCATTGCCCATCAGTGGCTCCTCCTGGCCCAGCCGCAGGGGTGGCTTGCATTTATGCCAGCTGGTGAGCAGCCTGTTCATGGCTCCTTGATCGGTGATGCCTCGAAGCTTCTCCCTCTCCTCCTTGGCCCCTTCGGTGGTAGCCAGGGCAGCTGAGTCGGCTGGGACTGTAGCCAGCACCCCATGGGTGTGACCCAGCTCCAGGTCATGGTTCATGGCCTCAAAGAACTGCTGGATACAGACCTTGGCAAAGGCCTTGGCGTGCTCTGTGCACGTCTCATCGAAGAGCTTGCGCTCAATGTCGATGTAGTGGGACCAGTACTTGCTTTTGAGGAAGGCAGCCTGTGTAAAGCAGGGCCTCACAGACCGCACAACAAATGCCAGCAGCGTGGTCAGCAGCACAAAGGACCAGCCCAGTGCCTGCAGGGGAGAGAAGAAAGAGTCAGCCAGGCCCTGGCTGGGGTGGTTCAGTTGGTTGGGTGTTGTCCTGCAAACTGAAAGGTCGCCAGTTTGATTCCCATTCAGGCCACATGCCCGGGTTTCAGGTTGGATTTTGCCCCAGTCAAAGTACATGCAAGAGGCAAGCAATGAATGTTTCTCTCTCACATCAATATTCCTCTCTATCCCTCCCTTCCTCTCTCTCTAGAACCAATTTAAGGGAGAAAAAAGAGGGAAAGGAAAGGAAGAGAAGAGAAGAGAATTGAAGAGAAAAGAAAAGAGGAAGGAAAGGAAAAAGAGAAAGGAAGGAAAAGGGTCAGCGGGCACTGCTCTCTGGCATCCCCCGCCTGCCTGCACCCCGACCCCATCGCACTCTGCGTGTCAGAGGAAGTAAAACTGGTGCAGGCGGGCTCCCAACACACAGCAGTGAACCAGGAAGCCCCTGGAGGTAGGCTGCCTGAGTCTGGGTCCTGTCTCCACTACTCACCAGTTGACCAGGAGTACGATGCCTCAGCTTCCTCACCTGTAAGTGGGGCTGGTGACTGTTTTCAGAGGGCTGCTGTGGGGCTAAATGTAATATTAAACTTAGCACGGTGCCTGGCATGTAGTTAGTGCTCAGTATCTGTTAGCCACTATAATTATGCCAATAGGCCCTTGCTGACCAGGCCTCTTCCTTCAGGGAGCCTTCCTTGACCACCCCAGGCCATAGCAACCCTTCCTCCTCTGAGTTCTCTGTCTCTGCCTTGTCTCCTTGTCTCTGCTACCATCTGCCGTTCAGTCGCCTGCACCGAGTGCCTCCACTCTGAGGGCTCTGAGCCAGGCCTCAGGGTCAGAGGGACACGTCAGACAATCACCCGAACTTTGTGCTGAGCAATACTGAACGTTCAGGTGCTGCCTCTGTTCTGTCAATCACTCCCTGTGGGGCCCAGGTCAGGATGCTCCCCCAACCTGTGCTTCCGGGCCCGCCCCCAGCTGCACAGAGAAGCGTTTGGCCAGACCAGAAAAGCGGGAGGCAGAGCAGGCCCAAATGTCTACGATGGGTCTGGCAGAGCAGACGTCAAATGGGGAGCTTCGGAGCATGTGTTACGGGGGCAGGGAGCACCCCCTTCGCTGCTCCCTGCAGATGTGTGGGCCCTGGGGGGCTGGATCTCCTGAAGTTTCAAATGAAGCTGGAAATCTGCTTTTTATGTGAAAATTTCTGGCTTTTAGGGGATGCCAATTAATTCTAAAATTGAATTTTTAATTCGACCTCTGAAGGCCAAGTGAAATACGTCTACAGGCTGGGCAGCCTGTCCTCTGGGAACGCCTTTAGATTGTGGTGCGATGTTCAGGGAGGTTGGAGGGAAAGACGGGCTCACGAGGGCGGGCCTTTGCTTGGTGTCGAAGGAGCCCGCTGAGCAGCCACTTCGTACTCGGAACTCCTTTCTCTTTCTCCTCGTGTGTCCTTCTCCCTCCTTTCCTTCCTGTTTTTCTTTTTTCATTTGGCCCTCCTCACCAAAGGAATAACCGGTTTTTAGCAAGTTGCCTCCTAGTACCACAAATGCACATCTAGGTAACCCTCCTCACTTGGATAGTTTAGCAGGGAGATAATAAAATCTTGACACTAACAGTGAAAAAAAAATCAGGTGGACGGACAGCTGCCCCAGGCCCTGACACCTGGATGGATGATGGGGCAAGTGCTCACAGGACAGGAGCACAGGTTTGGGAGGGAATCAGAGTTTGTATCAGACACTCAGAGTGAGAGATTTGCGTGGGGGTCTGGCAGTGGCACAGGCCTCCAGGAGACAGTTCTGGGCTGGAGAGAGGGAGCCGGGTGTCTGGACCCGCTGGAGCAGAGTGCACACGTTTCTCTCTCCCTTGCAGGGCAGGCCCAGCCCCAGCCCACTCCCCTGACAGCCTCCGGCCACGGGCTGCAAGGGCATGCGGCCCAGGTGGCCCTCTGCACACTGCAGTGACTGCAGGGAGGCCTGAGGGGCTCAGATGGGTGAGTGCCCCAGAGCGGCAGAGGACTCAGGAATGAGGCCGGGAGACCCGTGCACTGGATTTCCCTTCCGTGGGCTCTCGAACCCTGCCTTTAAGGAGTATCCCAACAGCGCGTGCCCCTCACCCATGCCCCCTGTTCCAGGGGCACCTGGACCCTCAGCTCCCACTCTCCAAACAGGGAGGTACCATCTGGGGGCATTTGCCAGGGAAATGTACCCAAATGTCCCAGCCACCCACCGGCATCACCACGGCCCGGGCCTAGAAGAGGGAAAGGATGCAAATTCCCCCAGGCTTCTGAGCTGGAGCTCAGGGTGGAGGATATGGTGCTGGCTGCACCACTGGGTCTGCTCTGGGGACCTCAGGACAGGGCACAGGCCTCTGGGCTTAAGTAGCCGTAGCACTTTCCCCAGGTGGCCCTGATCTGAATGAGGACACATGGCCTTCGGAAGCCCCTGCCCCACAGAGTTCTACTTGAAGGGGTGCCCCATTCTGTTGGGGAAACAACTCTTCTTGAGGAGGCCCCATTTTGAGAGGTGGGGAATTAGGGAGACCCAGGTCTGTGCAAGGACATCTAGCCCAGGGCCACCAGCCCCCTCACCTGGGAGATGCAGCGCAGGTAGCGAACGGCCACCTCACGGGCCAGCAGCCAGTCACCATCATAGATCTCCGGACAGGGCACCCGGGCCAGCAGGCGGGCGAGCTCGGTCGGAGGCAGGCCAGGCACCAGGCTGCCATTGCCCAGCACAGTCACGGGCACGGCAGTGCAGAAGGCACAGAGGAAGCACTTGCCATCGAGCAGCGTGACAGCCACCCAGACGACGGGAGCAATGAGCGCGCGCTGGGCCATGGAACAGAACATGTAGCGGAGCACGGCCGGGTCCTTGGCCCGGCGGCCCGGCGGCCTCTTCCATTCCTCGGCCAGCATGGACACGTTGTTGTTCAGGACCAGGCCGAGCAGAAAGAGCACCAGGGGCGGCACCAGCATGATGCCAGTGCTGTAGGCGGCATTGTAGCCAGGCAGGCAGGGGCAGTTGAAATCGAAGGCTGAGTATATCTGGGCGCTGGCCAGGGCCATGATGCCGCAGATGCCGTTCATGAAGGACTCCTGGTTGGACTGCAGGAACTGGAAGACCATCCGGAACTTGTCCATCGCGCCCCCCACGAGGCTTGGCGGCCCCCTCCCACCTCACTGCTGCCCCCAGGATGGGCCCTGCAGCTCACTGGGTGCGCACCTCATGGCTGCGATGGGCAGAGCTCAGGGCAGTGCCTGAGGTCACTGTGTTTGAGGAACCTTCTAGTCAGGTGCTGGCTGAGAGGCGCAGGGTAGCCAATCCTGTGGGTGTAACCAGGGCTCTGCCCCTCCCCTCCTGGGCCTCTCTCTCCATGGCCACCTCCGGCACAGGGAAACTACCAGGGCCACACCCGATGGGACCAGTTATGGGTGTGGGAGGAGGGCAAGGAGGTTCAGATGCAGGGGTGGAGTTGGGGACGATCCAGGGCTGCTGCAGAGGCCGAGCTTCTGAACCTTGCTCCCCGGGCTCCTCGGAAGCACGTCACCCTCCTTCTGTCCTTCCCACTGGGTCTTCCCTCCGTGCTGTATCAGGTTCCAAGAGGACCCCTCCATGAGTACAGACAATGATGGTATGATGATGGAGTGATGACAATGAAGGTGGTGCTGCTGTTGCTGATGGTGATAGTGGTGGTGCCAGTGATGGCAGAGTTGGTGTTGGGGATGGTGCTGGGGGAGGTGACAGTGGTGGTGGTGGTGACGGTGGTGACAGCAGTAATGGGAGTGACTGTGGTGATGATATTGTCACAGCGGGGATACGGTGGTGGAGGTGGCGGACGCAATGCCACTGCAGCATGGCACAGAGGGAAAAGCCCTGAATTGGGAGCCAGAGGGTTTATATCTGAGAGGTGCCCGGGTCCCCTCCCTACTGGGCAGGGAGCTATGGCCTGAGGGCCTAATGCAGGTGCTTTTCTGTCTGGTTTGCTTCTGTCTCCATGGGTGTCTGTGTGTTTGCAGACTGTGGGTGAAAAACCATCTCCTGGCCCCGCCTCCTACTTCTACCCCCCCAGATTTACAGATAAAGGGGTGGGATGGAGGGGTTTCATGCCTGGAGCTCAGGTCTCCAGACTGTCTCTGGGAACCAGGCCAGGGCCCCTCCCATCAAAGTGGAAGGAGCTTGAAGGGCTGCCTTTGATGCCCACCAGTTCTCCCAGAAGAGCAGGTTGGACCCAGCTCTGACCAGATGGCTCCTGTCTACCGTGAGAGTGTGGGGCTGGGCCGACGCAGCACCAGAGCCTGGCCGGCTGCCTCCACCGGGCCCACAGGCCCGTGCGTCCCTGTGCGTGCGCGTCCTGGCTGTGGCTCGGGGCCTCTGTACATGCGTGTCTGCGTGTGTGCACATAACCACGTTAGTGGTCTGTGTGTCCCTGTGTGAGCAACCAGAACTTGCACTGACCGGGCCTTCCCATGTCAGGCCCTGTGCCTGCACTTCACATGCACCGCCCTGCGTGACCCTCGTACAGCCCTGTGGAGTGGGTGCTGTGGTCCCCACTTCACCAAGGCGGGGGCTGAGGCTCAGAGAGGTTGAGTTACTATCTAAGGTTTACGCGGGCTAGGTGGGAAGAAAGGGCAGGAGAGTGTTTTTTGGCCTTTTTCTTCCCGCTAAATCAAGTTCTCCTGTTCTCTAAACCTGGGTGGGGAAAGTTAGTGTCACGAATAGGAGACAGGTGGAGAAGGATGGCGCTCTCTTCAGCCCTCAGGCTGGGCCTGGGGCAGATGGAGCCCCTAGGCTGGTGGCCTCTGGAGGACCGTTTTGGGGGCTCCCAAAGGGGCACCCACAGGGTGGGAGCAGGATGAGGGAGGTCCATCTAAGGACACGCTGCAGTGTTGATGTGCAGGTCTGAGAAGGGGTCCGAGCTGCGGCAGAGCTGAGTGCAGTCCGGGTGGGGAGGTGCGGGGGCCTGGGAGGAGGGTGCCTGCAGGGAGCGGCCTGGAGTCTCTGTCTTCTCTGGTGGACACTACTTGTAGCCGCCGTGCCCTGGCTGGCTGCACGGTGCCCGCCCTCACCACATACACACTCTGCACAAATTCTGACTTCAGTGTTATCTTGAAATCCTTGAAATGAAACGGTTTGATTGAATCCTAACTATTCTCATTACTACAGGAGTGCTGTTTACAGTTACTGAAAGTAAGGGATGAGTGCTGGCGTGTTTACATGCCATTCAGACTGCTTACACTTTTGAGTGGTTGTTACCGTTAGTTTTAAATGTATCACCTTGGGCCAAATCTTCCGAGGGTGGTATTTATCAAACATTTGAAGGGATCATTACTAAGGAGCGTGGAGGGGCTGGGTGGTGCGTGAAGAGGGTCAAAAGGTGCAAACTTCCAGTTACAAAATAAACAAGTCTTGGCATGTAAGGTCTAGCATGGTGATAATACTGTATTGTGTGTTTAAAAGTTGCAAAAAAGTGAACCTTACCAGTTCTCATTGCAGGAAAAGAGTGTGTAACCACGTGAGGTGAGAAATGTTAACTAGACTTACTGTGGGATCATTTTGCAATATAAACACATATCAAATCATTGTGTTGCACACCCGAAACAGAGCGTTATATGTCAGTTGTATCTTGACTTCTAAAAAAGAGACTGGAAGAGGATCTGCTGTGGTCATTTCAAAATCTGATATTAAAAAATCAAGAGCTCACTGAAGTCAGCTCAAGTTTCTTGCATTAAGAAGCCTGGGAGAAGCCCTGGCTGGTGTAGCTCAGTGGATTGAGCACGGGCTTGCAAACCAGATAATCACGGTTCGATTCCCAGTCAGGGCACATGCCTGCGTTGCAGGCTGGTTCCCTGCAGGCCAGTTCCCAGCAGGGGACACACGAAGGGCAACCATACATTGATGTTTCTCTTCCTCTCTCCTTCCCTTCCCCTCTAAAGATAAATAAATAAAATCTTAAAAAAAAAAAAAAAGCCTGGGAGACTTCCTTTGGATGTTTTACACCAAAACAGCATTTGATATCTATTCTAATACTTCACACTACATTTTTTCTTATAATCCTATAAGATAAAGAAGGTGCGATAGTTTTTTTCCAAAAGCTCTGTAGAGATGTCTCCAAAGTCCCTCTGTTTGCCCTGGTGTTGCGTGTCAATCGATGTCTCTAAGCACCAGCATGTGGAGGTTAGGGACCTCTGCCTCTGAAGAGTGTGTGTGGGGGGACCAGGGGTGGGTGCAGTGGGGGAGACCAAAGGGATGGCATCTTGAGCAGCAGCTGAGGCCAGAGCAGTGTCAGTGACCACAGAAGGGACACGAGCTGCTAGCGGGAGGCTCCTTAGCTGCCACCCCTGCACCTGTGCTGTCCCCTCCTGGAGCACCATCCGCCCTCACTCTGCCCACCCAGATCCACCTCGATACCCTGCCCATTAGCTCAGTGTTTCCTTCACTGAATAGTCAACTTTCTTAGCAAGGAACCATGTCACAGAGTGGATAAGAGTAAGGTAATTAAGGACCTGGGTTCATGTCTGTACCCTGCCACATACTATCCGGGGACCTTGGGCAAGTAATTTAAACTTTGGGTGCCACAGTCTTCACATCTGTGAAATGGGGAGGATAAAGAGTTTACCTCTCCGGTTGTCTTGAGGATTCAGTGAGTTCAGCATGGTGCCAGGACTACAGTGAGCTCTCAGTAAATGATTATTATAACCTGGTGATAGTAATAATTGTCATTACTATCAAAAGCACCTGAGCTTTTCTTTGAAAATGTGTGTTAGTTTCCTATTGCTACTGCAAAGAGCCCCACAAATTTAGTGGTTAAAACAACACAAACTTATTCTCACACTTCTGGGGGTCAGGAGTCTGAAGTGGGACTCAGTGGGCCAAGAACCAAGGAGCTGGCCGGCTGTGCTCCTTCTGGAACCTCCTGGGGAGAATCCATTTCCTGGCCTTCTCCAGCTTCCAGAAGACAGACAACCGCATTTCCTGGCTTGTGGCCCCACATCACTCCAGCTTCTGCCTCCATCATCATATCTGGACTCTGACCCTCCTGCCCCCCTTTTATAAGGACACTTGTGGTTACATGGGACCCCCTGGGTCACCTAGGAGAGTTTCTCCATCTCCAGATTCTTAACGCAGACACATCTGCGAAGTCTCCTGGGGAGGTCACATTTGTGGGTTCTGGAGATGGGGAGGCGGACCTTGGGGGCCCCTTAGAGCATCTGCTCCAGGAGAGGGCTCAGCATGTGCTTAGCAGTGCTATGCGTCCGTCTCCACCTCTCCCTGCAGCGTGACCGGGTGTAGATGGAAAGAACGCAGGATGCCGCCACCCGATGCAGCAGCTATGGCGACAGCAAACCCACCCACAACCTCCACGGTGCGATGTCCACGGGGCCCTGTGCCTCCGGGCCTCAGGAGTGCTGTCCTGGTACCCGCCCCAGTGCCGGAGGAGTCAAGTATCATGAAAAGCAGCATGCAAAGGGGGCCTCTGCGGAGCGGGTGCCGGACATTTAGGAAAATGTTCAATTTGCGTAGAAGAGCAGCAGTGTGAGGCGCTGCTCTCCCCCAGCTGTGGGGGGAGCACCCAGAGAGCCGGGCAGCGGAGGAGGCAACAGCCATCGGTGAGATGCAGCTGCCTGGGCAGCTCGAGTATTGTCAGGCTGTGTTAGCAGAGGTATTAGGTCTTCACCTAAGAAGGACGTAGGTATTTGTTGAATGAATAAATGAAACATGTGCTGCCCCTTTCCCAACTCTTTGTCTTTGTTCTTGCTGGTTCCTCCCTCGAAGTGCTCTGTCCCACGCCCCCCACTCCCCCCCCGTCTTCTCCGCTTGTCAAAATCCTCCCCATCCTCTGAGACCCATTCACACCAGGCCTCCTCAGATCCCCCAGCTTGGAGCCATTATTCTCCATGCTAAGTCCCCATAGCATCTGGCTCGCCTCTATCACATGACATACAGCTTTTGCTTGGGACGATAATGATTTCCGTACCCACCACTGCCTGTCTCCGTGAGACAGCGAGCTCCCTGACCGCAGGCTCTGTCATCTGTGTAGGTTCTCTTCCCCATTCCCTGCTATAGGGCTGTCCATGCAGTAGGTGCTCTGTGAGGGCTCCATGCACAAAGGCGAGAGTATTGATGGCCGTCGGTGGCTTTTTACTGGTCCAGATGCTGCATCCTTGCAGCCCAAAGGGAGGTCCCTGGGCCTCCTTTCCCCATGTTGGGACCTCTCCAGTGCTGACTGGGCCATCTTCAGGCTCTCACCACCCTCCCCACCCAACCTCTGCTAACACTTTGCCTGAATCTTGCCTCACCACCATGCCATTTCTGCTATTTGCATGGCCTAACCACAGCAGGGGAGGTGGAGGGAGGCTGAGCTGCAGGGATTGTCTGGTCCTATACGGTCCCTTGGCAAGAGCCCAGGAGAGCAGATGTGGCCAGCCTGATATGGAGGGGGCTGGGCTCTGGAGGGGCATCCGGGGGCCCCTAGACTGCCTCTAGGCCCTGAGCACGAGGGAAGCATGGGGCTGCACCGTTTGTGCTGAAGACCACAGTGGGGCAGAGTGTGTGTGTGGTGAGTGAGTCATCAGGGAGGAGCGAGGACCCAGAGGAGTTCACAGGCCAGACCTTCCCCACCCCTTCCTGTCAGGGCCACCAGACACTGAGTGTCAGTGGTTTGTTTTTTTTCCCCAGCAAGATCTAACCTTGGCGACTCACGGTTTTCATCCCAGAGCCAGAGCCCACAGGCACACTTGGCCCAGAATCATCTGGTTCAGTGGGGAGCTGTCTAGGTCTGCCCCCACCCCGATTTGCAGATCTGATCCTTACACTGTACACCAGGGAGACTCCTCCCCAGGGTGCCAGCTTCTCACTAAGGGTAGAGGGTAGATACCCCTGGAAATGTCTGAGGAAGGAGGCAGTCTTTTAAAGAGATGCTGAGCTCAGGGGTCAGGCCGCAGGTGGCGGGGAAGGTGGGGAGGTGAGAGGTGAGGGAGGAAGCACCTGCTAACTGAAGGCGGGCAGAGAAGCCGGGCCGACAGAGGAGCTGTACTGCAAAAGGAGCTGCACCAGGCGGGGCTGCACCAGGCAGAGCTGCACACGCAGCCTTGGTCTGCTGGACAGAGAATTGGCAGGACTAGGGAAGTCGGGAGCTGACATTCTAAAACAGAAAAATCCCTTCAACAGGAAAATATAAAACTATACATGCGCAGTAGCCAGCAAGAGGCACTAATCATCACTTTCAAGAGGCACTCAACCAGCGGAGCTCACCAGAGCCTTCTCAGAGAAGCCTGGCAGAAGCCACAGGAAACCCAACCAGAGCACCGAAAACAAATACACAGACGAAACCATCGCAGGGCTGACCCACGTAGAGGTGCAGAACAGACTCTGGAGCCAGCTGCCCGTGATCCAATTTCAGCCCTTACGTGGGTGACCCCGGACAACTCAACCTCTTTAAGTTTTCTCTTCTAAAAAATAGGGCTAACAATCATCATATTGCATTAGGTTATCGTGAAGATAAAGTAAATTAATGTACAGGGGTGGAGTCATTTTGCAGTTGTTTGCAGTTTGCAGTAAAAGTGGTTTGCAGTTGTCATATAAAAATAATACAATAAGGCCCTGGCTGGTGTAGCTCAGTGGATTGAGCGCGGGCCTGCAAACCACACGATCGTGGTTCGATTCCCAGTCAGGGCACATGCCTGGGTTGCAGGCCAGTTCCCTGCAGGCCAGTTCCCAGCAGGGGACGCACAAAAGGCAACCATACATTGATGTCTCTCTCCCTCTCTCCTTCCCCCCCTTCCCCTCTAAAGATAAATAAATAAAATCTTAAAAAAAAAAAGAATTCTGTAAAAAAATAATAATACAATAACAAATAAATACTAATACTTGAGAATAAACTCATAACTGAAAACCTACTTTTACCCACACCTGTACGTACGGAAGTTAGAACAATGCCTGGCCCACAGTAAGAACCACATACACTCGTGTTGTTGTTGTTATTGCACTATTATTATTTAGAATCTGGCACCTAGAACCCAGAACCCATGGCAGATCATTTTGGATTCCTGCTACTCAAAGGCTGGTCCACCCGCACCATCACCTGAGAGCCCGTTAGAAACGCAGTCTTGGAACTGGTCCTGGATGCGCCGAGTCCGAGTCTGCATCTCACAAAAGCCCAGCTGAATGATGAGCGTATTCAAGTCTCTGAAGCCCTGCTTTAGAGCACAGGAGTGGCTACACCCCGAAACTAGGCTATTTGTGGGGAAGGAGGCCAACAAGGGTCAGGCTGGCTTGCCTTGAGGTTCCCACAGCCTGGAAAGCCCCTGACCCTGGTCAGCACTGACCCTTGACGTGGGGACACTGCGGGGTGGCGGGGGGGGGGGGGGGGCTACACGTCAGTGTGCTGGGACAGCTTGGTACCCTGGGCAACGGTGGAGGCGCGGTGGCTGAGGCCACGCCCCCAGAGCCCCGGGGACGCCTCGAGGTCAAGTGGCGGTTTGCTGGAGTACCAGGTGCTCAGGAGATGGTTCACCTGCTCCTGGCTTGAGACTGTGCGCAGGTAGGCCTTCCCACTCCCACCATCCGTGCCCTCGGTGGGCTCTGAGATCTCGGGGGCCTCGGCTCCCCTGCTGGCCTTGCCCCGCCGCAGCCCCCAAGCCTGCATTTCGTTCTGCATGCTGGCGAAGAAGTGCAGCACGCAGCGGTGGGCGAAGTCCCGCGCATGCTCACAGCACGTCTCGTCAAAGAGCTTCTGCTCCAGGTCCACGTAGTTGCTCCAGTATCTGCGCTGCAGGAAGATTGTCTGATCAAAGCAGGGCCTCAGGCAGCGGGCCAGGAAGGCCACCACGATCAGCAGCAGCGTGATACTCCAGCCCATGGCCTAAGACAGTGGGGAGAGCAAGGTCAGGTGTGGGCATGGCAGGCACGGTGTTCCAGAGTCTCTCTCCCCATCCTTCCTCGGCTCTGTTTATCTTCCCATTTAGTCACCATCCTACCAACTACCTCCATCCATCCTCCCTTCCATTCATTCTCTCATCCTCGCACCCGTTCCTCTCCCCAGATGTCTCTCTACCCGGTCACCCAGCCAGCCATCCTCTCACCCGACTGTATATCTGTCATCTTCCTATCCAGCATCCTCCAACCATCTTTCTGTTGTCCATCATTCATCCTCCTGTCCAGCCAACTGTCCTCCCACCCATTCCTGTTCTGATACTCATTCTTCCTTCAGTTCGTGCACCCACCATTCATCCTCCCAACCTTTCCTCTGGAAACCAGAATATATCACCCCAAAGTATGCCTCTCTGACATAAAATTATTTTGATCTGAAGGCAATTAAGAACCAGCAAACATAGGAAAAACTCTCTCTACCTTCCCCTTTTCTGCCTAAAGGCAAGATATAATTCTCCTTTGTCTGGAGACGGACCCCTGTCAGCCCAGAGGCGGCACCAGAGGGTGTGCAGACAAACCTCGCCCATCAGTAGGGAGTAAGGAGCCCGTGTTTCCTCTCATGCAGGTAAACACCTTCCTACCACGTCTGCCCCTGGAAGCCTCACGCCACCTTCCTTCGTCCTGTCGTTTCTCTACAAAGGTGCTGCTCTTTGTTGAAGATGAAATATAAGCTGGAATTCTAAGTCACCACTTTGAGTTAATTTTCGGTTTACGTTTCTCCCCTGTGATGTCCACCGCATGTGATAATACACTGTTTGTTTCCCACTGGTTGATGTTTTTGTTCTCACCTTGGTGGAAACCTAAGATCGGAAGAGGTAAAGTTTTGCCTTCCCTACACTCCCATCCATCTATCCATCCATCATCCGTCATCCTTACCATCCTCACATATATTTATCCACACCGTCTACGCACCCATCTGTCCTATATCTTGGGGGAGGCAACAGGGACCAAGTGTTTTCTCTCACAGAGCTCACACTTAAGTGAGGAAACAGTTAACAGGTGATGACGGGCCATGGGCCATGCGGAGGGATTTACTGGACCTGAACGTGACTGCCCAGGGAGCAGCGAGGTTCAGGCTGAGACCCGAGGGAAGGGTAAGAGTTGTATAAGATACGAACAGTGAGCAACGTTCTAGGCCAAGAGTGAGGAACAAGTGAAAGCAGTTCTCGAGGACCGGAGCCCCTGCCTGGCTGACTCCGCTTCCTCCGCTCTGCGCACCCACAGCTCTAGGCCCCGCGTAAGACCCGAGCGGCCGCGTGGGCCGAAGCAGAGAAGCCACTCCTCTAACACAAGCAAAGACATCTCTCCTTCGGCCTCTCCCCGCACCACCCCCGCTCACCAATTTAAAATACTCGTGTGAGTATTCCACGTTCGAGGAGCACTTAATGTGCCTGATACACTTACAGCTGGGTCAGGACTTCAGCCTTGCTCTCATTGAAAATTCCACACTTTTTCCCATGAGCTAGTGAAGCCTACAGTGTTCCAGCCCGCAGGGACCGTCAAGGTGAAGGAGACCAAACCTCCCTTCATTTTTCAGGAGAAATTGAGGCCCAGAGGGAGAGTGTCATGGCTGAGGTCGCAGTCTGAACTAGATAGAATCAAGTGCATCCTGAGCACTGGTCCTCTCTACACCGCACCACAGGCCTGCGTTTGCCGCCAGCCTGTCTCAGCTCCGAAAAGGGCTGGGGTCACGTTTCTATACTCTGCAGCCCCAGCGATACTCTGCAGGTATGGTTCATGTAACTACTTTTTGGAGGACACAGCCCAGCCAGGGGCTCCGGGGGTGGTGGTGGTGGAGTCTAGAGTCTGGGCTGGGAACAGGGCTGGGCTTTGCTCCCAGGAGGATGAGCTGATACTCTGCGAAGAGCCAGGTGTCTGGGGAGAACCTGAATTTCAGGGAGGCAGGCGGTCAAGAGGGTCAGCGGTTATAGCATGTTTCAGATCCCTGCCCTGCCTCTTCCAAGCTGTGTGACTTTGGCCTAGTGAACTAAACTCTCAGAGCCCGCATTTCCTCATCTGTAAAATGGGACGATGATGACTGCACCCTCTTCATAGGGCTGTTCTGAGGATGAAATGGAATAACGCATATGAAATGCTCAGCACGGTTCCTGACACGTGAGTGCTCCGTAAAGCGTAATCAGCATTGATTCTGAGGAGTGGGAAAAGGGTGGCCAGCCCGCGGCCCACATGCAGCTCAGGATGGCTGTGAATGTGGCCCAACACAAAATCGTGTGTACCGAAAACATCATGAGATTTTTTGTGATTACGTGTCACAATGTATTTAATGTGTGGTCAGGACAACTCGTCTTCTTCCAGTGTGGCTCAGAGACACCCAAAGGTTGGAGCCCCTGGGTGGGAGGAACGTGTGTGGGGCAGACAGAGCAGTGGCCTCCAGTGCTGTCCTGCCGCCCAGCCTCCTGGGGAGGGGCCGGCTGGCTCCTGGAGGGTATGGGTGCCTGGCCTGTGTCCTGGGGGGAGTCAGCATTGCTGACCAAGTGCTCACTTCCCAAGGCCCCACACTGTCCTGTACGTGACTCACACTCCTGATCCCCCCAGGGACCACCTGCTCCTTGGTTGTGTCTCCAGGAGTGGGGAGGGGCTGCAGGAAGTCACCTGTACTCCTCAGCCCTTGGAACCCATGCAAGATATTTGGGAGGGTTAGGGAGGGTTAGGGGAGGACCTTGCAAAGTACCTGTGACAGGCACCGCAGGTAGCGAGACACCGCCTTCCGCGCAGGGCTGTCCCTGACCAGCGCGTCTTCCTTGCAGGGCACCTTGGCCAGAAAGAGCTGGACCTGGCTGGGGGTCATGTTGGCAAAGTCCAGAAACTTCTCAGGGTCCACAGAGCTGCTGAAGGCACACACGAAGCACTTCCCGTCAAGGAGGGCCAGCAGGATCCAGACGAGGGGGGCGGCCAGTGCTCTCTGCAGCACAGAGGAGCACATATACCTGGGAGCAGAAGAAGGCGGGGTCACAAAGGGTGGCTGGAATTCCGCAGCAGCAGGAAGGCTACAGGAGAGATGCAAAGATGGACTTCCCAGGAGGGCTGGGACATAGTACTCATAGTTACAGCAAGGGAATGATTCCGGCTTCCACTGCAGGGTTCCCGGCAGCACAGAGCAAGGAGGGAGGTGGGCTGGGAGCCCTGGGAGCCCCACTGGGGGCCACTGGGCAGCTGGTGTTCTTCCTGCTCTAGGCCTTGCAGCAGACTCTGCAGGTGCCCTGCCCAGCCAGGGCAGCCACAGCTTCGGTGGCGGATAGTTCCTGTTCACGTGGAGGCCTGAGGGCCTCCGACCTCAGCCACCTCAGTCTGCGTGAGGTCCAGGCTGCAAGGGGTAGAATGTTGACACCCCTCTCATCCCAAATCAACCTTCAACTCAAGAGGGACAGGCCCTGGCGAATAAATGCCCCATCTTTCTAGACCCTCAGTGGGACATGTCTGAGGGACCGAGTACCAGTTGCCCACCCATTATTGCCTTCTTCCAAGAGCCTGCTTTCAGGGGGAGCCCTAACTAAGACAGCCCTGCCCAATGTGCCTCCCTGACATAGCACCTCAAACAACCCCCATCCGGGGAGCCCACCCTCCAGCTGTGCCCAGGTGCCTCTCCTCCCGTGGCCTGCAGTGGGTGTTGGCCACAGGACAGGAGCCCAGTGGAGCTGCAACCACTGGCCCCCCAAGAAGAAGGTCAAGGGCGCACTCAGCGCCTGTGGCCCTCCCTGTGTGGCTGGATGACGGGGAGCACAGAGCCCCCAAGGAGCACAATAGAGGCTGCTTGTGCACAGCATGCAGATGTTTCCAAGTTGCGCTGTGTACAAACATGAAGTGGTGCCTGCTCTGTGTGTGCATGGCCTACCCAGTGGTGAACTATAAATCCCCTGTAGATGGTGGTGGTAGGGGGGTTCCAGCATTTTCTACAGGGGCAGTGTGTTTCGAAGAGGGAACTGAAGACTTGTCATGAAGTTACCTTCACACCCTTGAGGACACCTTCGTTGTCCCTGTCAAAGTGTAGCGTGAGGGGAGATCGTGGGTGGGTGAAACGCCACTGAGCCCTGCCAGCCACTGCCCACAGGCCTAGGGCACTGAGGCGTTTTGTGTAAAACACTAAGGGCAGCGGCGTGAGTTGTGCCTCTTCCTACCTGGGGGGAGTCAGCCAGGTCACTTCACTTCTCTGTGCCTCAGGTCCCCCGTCTTTGACAGTGGGTCCCCAGTCAGAGCGGACCCAGGGCTGAGGCGAGAATTCAGAGACCGTGCACACACACACACAGCACTTGGCAGGGAGCTTGGCACGGCATTGCCGTTCGGTGTTGGCCAGCGAGCGATTCGGATGGTTCAGCTCCATCGACTGATGCTGGTAGAGGGCGCCGACCAGCGGGAGGCTCTGAGGACTCGGCAGCACCGGCTGCCCAGAGAGCCCGTGGGAGAGCAATGCAGCCTGCAGGCCGGTCACGCCTCTCACACCACACACAAGTGCTCTGTGCGTGCCACGGGATGGCCCTTCACACGTGTGGTGAGGTGCAGTCAACCCACGGCTAGCATAACAGATGTGACGGGGTGATTCTGTGCCACTCATCTATCTCTAGCACTGGCCACAGAAAGTGTCCCTGACAGTGTCCCTGACACTGGCCACAGAAAGGTGACAAATGTCAGGAACAGGAATATCTGTTTCCAGAATGGAAACTGCAAATGGGGCTCGTGTGCTGACAATGCTTTAGTTGGGGAAAGGAGAGGGCACACTGGGGAGGGACTGTGGGGCGGGCGAGGAGCCCTGACAACACCTGTGGGGTCACTGGGGCTTGGGGGTCAGCTGGCAGTGTTTTTGTGTGTGTGTGGGGGGGCTGACAATGCCCAGGGGGTAGGCTCAGGATTTGGAGGTGCCCTGGCAATTCCCGAGCAGGTGGGGGATTCTGACAATGCCCACAGGCCTCCGGGTGGGATGGGACCGTACCTGAGGATGCCTGGGTCCTTCTTCCGGTGCCCCACAGGCCGCCGCCACTCCTCTACGATCACCACGGTCTGCCGGTTGGCAAGGAGGCCACAGAGGAAAAGGGCGAGCGGGGGTGTGAGCAGCAGGCCCAGGCCGTAGAGGGCGTTGTAGCGCGCCAGGCAGGGGCAGTTGAAGTCGAAGGAGGAGTACAGCTTGACAGTGACCGCAGCCAGCAGCAGGCAGATGCCGTTCATCACCGACTCGGAGCTGGACTGGAAGTACTGGAGAAGCATGCGGAACTTATCCATGGCTCCCGCTGGTCGGTGGGCAGTGTGGGTCGGGGGCTGTGCTGGGGGTGAGTCTGGGCCCCAGGAGCTGCTTCTCTTCCAAGGGTCTGCAGCCAAGACTCTGAGGTCTAGCTCTCCACGAAGGCTCTGATGCCCAGGCTGCTTGTCACCAGTGCCACTCCCTCCTCTCTGTGACCAGCCAGCCCAAAGCACCTTTACGCAAATAAACCCTGCCCTGTCTCTCCACACCTCCCCAGCCCATTCCCTCCTCTCTTCAGGGCGTGGGTGTCGAGGCCTGACAGCTGGCAGGGTATCCCGTGGGGGGACAGGCAAATTCTGGGTATGGTAAGGGCAAGACACTGATGGACCCAATTTATATTTTCTGGTCTTAATCAAAGTGTAACTTTATTCAGCTGAGCCCAGGGAGTGTTCACGTTGACTTTCGTGCTGGGAGGAGCCAGGTGGGGCACTTGACCTTGCCTGAAGTGTTCTGGGAAGAGAAAACCCTCGAGAAGAGTTTACTGAACCACGTGTCAGAATGGTCCGCCAATGAAAGGCGCCGGGAAGGGAAGGCCTTCCAGACGGCCGGTTCTGCGTCCACAAAGGCATGGAGGTGAGACGCAGTCTGGTGTGGCCAGTGGTTGGGGGTCTCTGGAAGGTGGTGTCAGGCCGTGGGTGTCAGGAGAGCGGGCTGGAGGGTCGGCGGGTGCCGGCAGCCCCCTGCCCCACTTTATTCCGCTGCTCTCTAGGCCTGGCCGCCGACCAGTTCTGGTTTCCCTGAGGCACAGCTTCCGCTACCAGGCTCCCTCGGCCTCCTTAGCGTGGCATTCAAGGCCCTCCTAACCGTGTGCCCAGCTGCAGCTTCCCACGTCCACTGAGAACCCCTGCCCCTTTTCGCACCCACCCTTCAAGGGCCCACACTGTCCTGTCCTTCGAGAGGCAGCTCAGTTCAGGGGCTGGAGAGAACAAGGCTGGGAGGGGTTGGGCACCCCCTCGCTCATTCTAGTCTCTGGGGAGTCTCCAGGAATGAACAAGCATGGCTTTCGGGAGAACACTGCAGGCCACTGGGACAGGCCTCCCCCGGGACAGGCTGTTCACAGCCCCAGCCTCTGACAGTGGAGACGGAGCCCCCAGGCCAGCCTGGGGCCCTGGGCCCTGCAGGGGCGATATTCTGTGTGGCTGCCCTGGCCCTTGCTGGGTGTTTACGGAAAACACCTCCAAGAAATACCCTAGGGCGAGAGGGCGGCTTCACATTGAAAAAATCTGTATTTTCTAAATTGTCTACTTTTATAGTGATGATTTAAAAAAATCCCCAATGAAAACCACGAAGTATTTTCACTGGAAAAACTCGAAGGGATTCAGGAACAAGTAAAAGGTGGGGGGAGCAGTACATTTGTTGCCTAGAGCCCTGGACCGGCCGAACCTGGAGAGGCAGGAAGGGAGGGAAGAACAGGAGAAAGACGGGCTTTACTCCTGGGTGCGGAGAGCTGTGAGCTGGTAGATCTGCTGCGAGACAGCACCTCAGTCCTCGGTCTCCTGGCCGCCCAGGAAGAAAAGTCTACCAGGAAAAAGTCTACCAGACTCGAGCGCCCATAGCTGAGCAGTTCTTTAGGACTGGGTGCCCCCCACTGGAGACTCTCAGAGTTTGATGTGGGCGTGGGGGGCGTGGGGGGTGTCTCTGTACCAGTGGGTGCGTGCGAACATGTGTGGCTTGTATGTGTATAAGTGTGTGTCTTCAGAAATTCGGCTATGGTGGTATCTTGTCTTTTTGTACAGCGAGGACACTCTCCCCTGAGGGTTCTCTCTTCCCTTTCCAAAGGAAGACACTGGATTCCTGTCCCACTTCTCTCTCAGGACTGGGAAGCTATTGTTCCCTCCGGTCCAGGAGGGCAGTGGTGCCCTCTCTGTCTCAGAGACCTGACTCTCTTTTACCCTGATGACAGAGGCCCCTGCAGGATCCGTGTGACGGGGCTCTTTGGTCCAGGGCTGGCAGACCTGGGGGAAAGTGGGGTGGCACTTACGTGGAATCCACTCTGGTGACCACACAGAGCCCCGTGGCCCCTGGGGGAGTGTGAGGGGTGCTAGTTTTTGGTGTGGAAGCCCCTCCAGGGATGGCTCTGGGCGCCGGATGTTGACCCAAATGCGGAGACCTGGGGTCAAACACAGGTGAGCTACTCTGGGAGGAGCAGCCAACCCAGCTGGATTTTCTGAATTCCACTTCTTGGGAAATACCAAAGTCAGAATGGCTCCAGGGTCCCTTTTCCCCAGCTGCCTACGTGCACCAACTCAGGAGAGTTCTGAAACCAAAGGTCACCCACTGGGGTGGCGTAGATGTGGAGGTATTTGTGGGACAGGTATTTGTGGAACAGGCCGGGCTGGGTGTGGCGTGTCCCAGCTCTGAGGGCGATGGTGTGCTCAGAGAGCCACGCATGGAAGCACCTCTGGTATTGGCCACACGTCCTGAAGGTGGGTCCACAGAGCAGCAGAGATATTCCCGGGGCATCTGCAGAGGGCCAGGCATTATGCTTGTGCTGGGCACACACAGGTGCCCACACCAGCTGCAGATACAGCCAGCAGAGCATCTCGGTGTGAACTGGAGGGCCCTGGAGAGGACCTAACTTGGCCCAAGTTTGGATTCATCCTCCCTCAGTGCTGGGAGAATCTCTGTCGGCGGGTCTGACCGTCTTTGTCTAGCCATGGTGGTGGGGAGGGCTGCTCCGGAGATGCAGTTTCAGGGTGAAACCTGAGAAGGTGGCCACAGTGAAGCAAACCGCCCAGAGGGTGAGTCTGGGTGGCTGAAGAGTAGGGCTGACTTCCTCATCAACATGTTTTCTTTACAACGAAGTAGCTAATGGAAGCTATGAGGTGTAGTTCTCCCAAACTGCTCTTCCCACTTTGAAACAGGAAAAGAGCAACCCGTAAGCATTTTTTAAGGTGTTTTGATTGACCGGAGGGCTCCCCCCAAAAGTTTGCCAGAGACAAAGGGGATTCTAGTGGAGTTCTAGCGCTGTCTAGTGGTGGCGGCTGGAGAGAGAGAAATCGAGAGGCGGAGAGGGCTGGGGAGGGATCTTGGGACTCAGGGTCTGCTGAGAGACAGTTTTCCACAAGCCACGTCACTGGGAAGAGAGCCCCCCACCCCGCCCGCCGGCCCGGAGGCGCCTCTGGGTGAAAGTGGACCTACAGAGTGCCTCTGGGATCCCTTTTGGAAAATGAGGGTGGGAGTGAGACAGCACGCTGGTGGCTGGTGGCAGTGACCAGACGGACGTGTCTGTTTCCTACTCTGGGTCTCAGGACGGAGGCCAGTGACTTGCTGCAGACGTGCCTCCTGACTCCTGTTTGTCTTTCAACCTTTGCCCTGAGGGAGTTTTATGTTTTTGTAGTCATATTTATCATACTTTCCTTTAGGTTTCTCTGGTCTTTGTAACATTCTTAGAAAGGCTTTTCCCCTCTCTTTTTTCCTTTTTGCTAAGTAGAGGTCATTTAACATAGGAGAGAAAAGAGGTGCTGGGGCATCACCCCCACGTTGAGCATTCTTATTCAATTCCAGTTTCTTTATTTGAAATCTCTTTCATGTCCAGGGGTAGTGGCCCTGTGCTCCCTGGCTGAATTCCAGAGAACTGAACCAAGTGCCTGGGAGCCTGAAGGGTCTCTCAGGCGAAAGGGTCTCCTTCGGGAATTCAGTGAGGACCCCTCACCTGCCCTAGGGGTTGGGGCACTTGAAGGGCTCTCATTCTGGGGCAGGTACAGTATCCCAGGGGTTTGGAATCGGACCACCCTCGGGCTGTACCTCCGAGCTTTGTTTACCAGCTTCCAGGCAGGTGTCCGAGCCGCCCCAGGCCTCAGGGTTTTCATCTGTGAAATGGAGATGCGGATACTACTAGTAAAATAATAGTAACAATAGTAGTACCTACCTCACAACGTTCTTATCTGGCTTAAGTGAGTTAATACAGGTGAAATACTCAGACCAAGGCCTGGCACATGTAATGAAGGGTTCCACAAACATTGCCCGTCACAGTGGTTGCCAGAAGCTGCGGCAAAGGAAGGATGGGCAGGCGGACAGAGCACAGAGGACTTTTAGGACCACGAAGCTCCTCTCATTCCATGATGATGGATACACAATATCCCATACACATTTGACCGAGTTAGCAGAGGTTCACCAGTTGTGACAAATGTACCACTCTGGTGGGGGTATTGATAAGGGGGAGACGATACATGTCTGGGGGCAGAGGGTATATGGTATATGGAAAAAAATCTCAGTACCTTCCGCTCAGTTTTGCTGTGAACCTAACTAAACTTGTTCTAAAAAACAAAGTCTATTTCTTAAAAAGGATCTTCTTGCCCTCTCCTGGAGTGCACACACACTCTAGACTAATGTTCTCAAATGTGGCATGCATCAAAATCATCCACGGGGGACGGGGAGGGGGGATATGGTAATAAAATGCAGGTTTCTAGGCCGCACTCCAGGACATGCTGGTTCAGTGGATCTGATGAAGGCCGTTAACTGACCAAACTTTGGGAAACTGCTCCGCCTGGACCCGCGTTCTAGTCAGAGGCTGCTATTTGAGGAATGCCTGAGAGTTTTCCCAGGGAAGGCTGGACGCCCCATGGGCAGGCCAGTGCCACCAAGCAGGCTGCCACCAAGCAGGGCTGGTTACACTGGACGGCAGGGCAGGGCGTGGTGGTGCAGGGAAGGGGGCTTCCAGCTCCTTCCTTCAGTCCAAGGACAGCCTTACACTCTGGGAGGCAGCCCCTGGGGCCAGGGCCCCAATGGTAAGACTCTCAAACACTTCTCTTTGGAGCCCAGCCCTATCAGGTCAAAAGACTGTGTTCCACATTAAACATGATTTTCCTGCCTTAAACATTTTGAAAGGATTTTTATAAATCTGGCTTTTTGAATCATCAGACTACAAGAAACTCATTGAATTCACAACTGGTTTTATTTCTAAGCAATCATGCGTGTGTTGAGTTTCTTGCCAAGTGAGAAAAACCTGCGGTTGTCTTTGAATATAATGAAATCTTTA